GGAAGGGGGAATTGGACTCATATATCGATTTCTTTGAGAATCTCTCTCTCTTCCCTCTCTTCTTCCCTCCATCCCTTTCATTTTTCTCCCCAAAGACAATACTTTTCTCCTTCCAAATTATAGGGCCATTCGCTTACTCAGTGGCTTGTAGAAAAATATTTGCAGGTTCCTCCTTGATGAACAGAAGCCAGGCCAGCCTTTTTGAGCCAATATTCTACGTGGGGGCAGGCTGGCTTTCGGCAAACCAAGCATAGCACCAGGTGGTGACACCTCTAAGTAACAACATGATTGTGGGCAGAGGACGTTCCTCCCTCCATCCCCTATGCTGTAGGGATGGGTCGTGGGCCAGGCTGCAAGAGCTGGCACAGTGCTGGGTACTTAGACAAAGCTGTGCCATGGCTCTCCCAGGACGGAGGATTGCCGCAGAGGTTCTCAGGACGGATCAGAGGAGGACTCCAAATATAGTAGTATTGCAGGAGTGAAGACTCTCTCTCTCTCTCTCTCTCTCTCTCTCTCTCTCTCTCTCTCCCTCTCTCTCTCTCACTCACACACACACACACACACACACACACACACAACACACTTTCTTAGACCTTGGAGATATATCATATATATGAATTGCATATTTTCTCTCCCAACTAGTGGTGATATGCAAAATATAAAGCAGCCACATGTGGCAATCCACCAGCAGTACCCCAAGACTTCAGGCCTGAATAGGATCTGGGAGGCCCCGTGCGGATGACAGCGTTGACCTTTAAGTGCTGGAGATCAGAGAGGTACCGGGGGGCTAGGCCCAGGGGAGCCAGGGAGGCCAGCTGTGGGGAGGGGCACTTGAGTCGCTCAGAAGTGCTGAGATGCTACGGACCCACGTGGCTGACGGTCCCCCCTCAATACGCTGGAAAGAACAGAAAAATGAGCAGAATCCTATATGCAGAGAATGCAATTTCAGTGGAATGAAGGAGAGTCACCTGAGCAGAAGGAGCTCATTAACATTTCTGGGGACACTTCCCCAGGGGCTCTCCAGCACACCGGGGCCCAAGGCGAAGGTGGGAGTGATGGGAGCCAACTGTCACTTGAGGGCCGGGCATGCGGGCCCTGAAAGCAAAAGCCTCGCTGGCATCGTCTGCATCGTCTGCAGCCTTTCCTACCTCCCGAATTGCCCCCTCTTCAGCACTGAGGGAAGGACAGTGGTCATCACCGCCTGCGGGTCCTCGGGCCCCTAAGAATCACCCCACCCTGGCCCCCAGCTCACAGCAAATTCCATTCATCGTCTTCATTGTATTCTAAACCTAAAGAAAACAAGGCGTCCTGCCCAGCAGCTGGTCCATAAAACATTAATCACTATCCCCCTCCTTGAGAGGCTCCTGACCAGTGAAGGTGTGACCTCCAGGAGTGATGGAAAAATCCCAATGGGTCAGCACATGGCCGGGCCACCTCAAGGACAGGGGCCCCTGGCACCAGTTCCTCCAGTGCTTTTCCAGATCAGCTCCTGGCTTTGGTTCCAAGGATGCTGAGGATCAGCCCGGGAACCCCCAAAGGGAGAGAACCCTCCTTGCAGCTGCCAATTCCCTGAGAGACACCATGGTCTTTGGGACCAAGTGTCAAATGGCTGCCTCAAGACCTCCACACCCTTTCATTTGGGCCCTCTTTGAGCCCACGTGAGCTCTTGAGATGAATAATGATGCTGGGATCGTGGCCAGTTACAGACCAAGAGCCCCATGGAGGCTTCATGGCACTTATGTCTGAGCAGTTGCTGGTGACCCCAATTCTCCCATAGACTCAACACCCCTCCAGGGTCTGGAAAGAAGAATCCCTTCGATCCTGGAGGAAAAAGGGAACTATTAAAAGGAAACTATGGGCATCCAAGGATCCCAGATTCCTGGATATTCAGAAACCCAGAACAGAGTGACCCAGTGCATGATGTCATACGTATGTGTGGCATACAGGCAACCTCAGGTTGATCCTTACGGGCCTCTGGAAGACGTTCCCTCAGAAGGGCTTTGGAAAAGCATGCAATCTGCGCCAGGGATCCTTGGTCTCAGAACCCGTGGGACAATTGTGGAAACACAACGTTTTACTCCTATGAGTTTCATGAAGGGAGAATGTTCTAGGATCCAATGGCTGCTAGATTACATCCTGCTTCCTCCTGGGCCGACTGTAGAGGGCACCGCCTTCCGGACCCACGGAGCCACCTCTGCGAGCAGGCCTCTGTTGGACCACGGGGGACAGGAGGGGGGAGTCTCAGCAGGGACCCAGCTGCAACGGTGTGATGGGTGCTCCCCACCAAAGCACTTCACGTGTGGAGTCACCTGAATGCTTGGCAGCCAGGGGACAAAGGCTGAGTCATGGAATCTTCCAGGAAATTGACTGTCTCCGTTAAAGTTTGATGAAGAAAATAGACAAGGGCTCTGGTCGCTCCACTAGCCTCGCTCCAGTTCCAGTTTCCTCCCCCACCATCCCACCCCCCAAACTTCTTCTCTGTGCGAGGCTGGACAAAACAGGAGCAGGGTGGGGCTGACCTCGGGCAGCTGGGGTGCCAGAAGCACTGAACCCTGCCGACAGGGAGATGGGAGGAAGTCTGGGGCAGCCTCACCCCGGAGTCGATGCCCCTAGGCCTCAAAGGGCATCCGAGGCTCCTGCATTCTCCATCATCTTCCCTCGGGTGCTGCACGGCCCGTCCCCTTCTCACCCTACTCCGGTGGGAGGGGGCAACCTCTGGGTACGCAGGTTTATCAGACATCCTCCTCCGGATGGATCCTCCTCCAGACGGAGGAGCAGTCAGGCCTCGAGGGCCTCGCGGGGCTGGTGTGGGGCCACCCAGGGGAGCTGCCCGGGGTCAGGCGGGGTCCGTGTGTCTCAAGCAGACACTGAGTCCAGCTGGCCCCGGCATGAGATGCACTCCTGGTGCAGGAGGCCTGCCCTCCCAGCCCACCATCCATTCCCCTTCCTGCTCCCTCTCCCTCCGGACACCCTCTAGGCCGAGGAAGACCAACTGCCGGGCTGGCCCAGAGCCGAGCTTCGCGGAGGTCATGACAAAACAGGCCCACACCGCATAGTGGAAGGAGCCCAGTCCCTGAAGCCAGGCGGAGCGGGTTCAAATCCCACTTCTGCCACCAGCCTGCTGTGTGGCCTTGGGCAAATCATTTCAGCTTCAGGGGCCTCAGTGTCCTCTGTAAATGGGGGCAGTCATCTACCTCTACCTTCCAAGGATGTTGCAAAGATCAGAAGGTCTGTATGTGACGACCCGGGGAAGTGTCTCATACAAAGTAAGTGCTCAAGAAACACCGGTTCCCTGATCTCTTCTTTCCGTCCTGCCTCTTGTCACTAGGGTTCTGGAAGTTATAACTAAATAATCCGCGAGAAAGGCTCTGTCCTGGATGGCCAGGGGTGGCGAAGGAAGGGCAAGGATTGAGGTGGGGGTGGCCAGGGTCCATAGTGGGAACTGAGATGGCTCCACACCAGGGAGGACGAGGTCAAGAGAAGGAGATAAGCAAAGAAGGGCCGCGCGAGAGAGCCTTGGCTCACTGTCCCGGGCGGGCCTGGGCTGCAGTGGGCTAGCCCGTATCCTGTTCCCAGGGTGTAGCTACATCACTTTGCACTCATGCCAGCCGGCCCTCAGCCTGGGAGGTGGAGGGGCACTTTGCACGGGCGGACACAGCAGAGCTGCCTCTCACGGGGACCCGGTGGATCCTGGAGGTGGAGAGCCTACCGCAACAGCACTGACGCAGCCTTCGCTGGGGTGACCTAGCCCCTGGCCCTGCCAGGTGCCTCTGTATTCCCAACAGCCGGCCTCCACCAGAGGGAGGCAGGAACCAAGTGTCTCCCAGGAGCAGTGATGGGATGCCAGGACCCTCCCAGACACCCCTTCCCTGATCAGCCCACACCTGTGTTGATAGCTGCACCTGTGGCCTGATGAGATTCCTAGATGGTTGGTGGTTCTCAGAGCCCCCCAGATTCTAGGCCTCTGTGGAAGGGACAGGCCCACTAATGGGAGTAGAGCCTGTTCCCTGTTATGGGGCACTCAGTTTCCCAATGTGGTTGTCCCTGCTTTGAGAAACCAGCCGTAAGTGTGCATGCAGTGGGCAGGGAGGTGGGTATCAGGGCCCTACGTGCAAGTCTCAGCCTGACAGACTTGTCCCGTGAGTTCAGGTATCCATCTCCCTTTCTGTCAAATGTGGACAACCATACCAGCTAGGCCAACACTGAGGGAGGCCCCGAGTGGGAAGGGGTTATGTGAGATCAAGAGGGCTGGACAGAGCCTTGTTCAGCCCCCACCAGCCTCCAGACACCATGAGGACAGATGGAAAAGCAGGTGCAGACAGAGTGGTCTTTGCACTTTGTACCCTCGAAGCAGAGGCCAGCCCCCTGTGACCTCTCTTCCCTTCTGCCCTGGGCAGCCACAGACTCCTTCTCCACAGGAGAGTACACACCCTTTCGAGGTGTGGTACCTGCTTCCAGGAGTGGGAGGTGGGCGGGGGGGGGGGGAGGGAGGCGGCACAAGGTCTCAAGGGACTAAGTCGCTCTTCCTCGCTTAGCTACCACAGGTCACCCTTCGCCAGCCAGTTAAGCATCACCTGTACCCAACATAACCCCACTCAGTTCTGATGGGTGAACTCCTGCCCAAACTTTGGGTCCCATTACCCAAAACAGATGTGGGTGGGGTTGGAACTGGGAGTGGAGAGACACAGGGACAGACCCCCGAGCATCCCCTGGTGCTCCCTGGGCCATGCTCTGAGGAGGGCAGAGGGGTTGATGCGGCTGTCACATTTGCATCCTGCTTTCCCTCATGTCTTTCACACTCTTTCACAGGGTCCCTGTTAGGGTCAGGACTCCGTGTTGCTCAAGTGGAGGTCTGGGGTGAGGCTGTGTCCACCCACTGAGACCAGGAATCCTTAGGGCAAGAGGTGGGGGTCCCTAGAATGGCACCAATCTCCCCTCCAACCCAGAGATCCTTTGTAGGAACGCGGTACCCAAAGAGAAAAAATTACAGGAGGCCTAGATGACATTATAAGTCATTTTCCTTTATTTTCTTAACATATAATGAAATTCCGATTCCAAAGAGACATATATGCAGAGAGACAGATGCAAGGTCTGGCACGCAGCAGCCAGAACCAGGCAGGAAGCGGGTCTGCCCCCCTCTCCCCTCCAGCACAAGCCTCGCCCCTCCTGGCTCCTGACCACCACGCAGGCAGAAACCGAGCAGCTGGGAATAAGAGGGGTCAGTCTTGTGGTCCAGGGAGTAGCCAGAGACATGGCCTTGGTTGCTAGGCCTGGCCAAGTCGTTACCTCACTGTGGGACATTGGACCTCAGTTTCCTTATCTGTTAAATGAGCTAGAAGTCCCTGCTAGGGAATGGAGAAGAGAGTGTGTCGATGTCATGACGGGTCGGTGACCATTAAGTGTTACCTGGTTGTCCTGCTGCTTCCAGATAATCTGCAGATGGAGTTACTTGGGTTTTGTCACCATCATGGCGACGGGCATGCTGGGGGACCTGCTCTGGCCCTGATGGGATTGAACAGACCGTCTAGACAGCTGCCCCCAAAGCAGACTCTGTCCTCTGAGGGGTCTGTGGGCTGTATTGGTAGCTACTTCATCAGGCCAAGGCTGAATGTCCCATCCAGGCAAATGAGAAGGGAAGGCTATGGCCTGGGGTCACACGGGGAGCCTGGGCAGGTAACCCCCCTGCCTCACATGCCTCCAGCCAGGAGTTCAGCAATAAGGGGGGAATCTGCTCCTCCTCGCCTCTCACCATCAGCTGGGGGCTTAGAAACCACGTCCCCCCGCTAAGGGTCCAGCAAGGGACATTTGCCTCTGTGGGCTGATCCGCATCGTGGTCATCTGTCCTTGGGCTTGGGGCTTCAGATAACCAACACACTTGCGTGAGCGTGACCAGGGTCTACACTGGCAGGAGGAAGTAGAGAATGAAATGATGATCGAGATGATGCAATGATACGTGGGAAAGGCCAACTAAAACCCCGTGAAGGAACATGGGTGCTCCTCCTTCGGGCTCCATCTGGATTATTCTGCGAGAGCCAACCCTGTCCTTGCAGCATAGGGGTCAGCCTTGCTTTCCTGGCAACAGGGGCCTCTCATGGCCTGGACCGTCTGTTGATCTCTGCTTTGAAACATGTATGCATATGGCCGTGTGTTCACACAGATGTAAACCAAGGCTCTGCACTTGGGAAAGAACCAGGGCAAGTGGAAGAAGAGGTGCTGGTCCATACTACATCTTCTAGAACCCATGGAGTATCTACGCTTACAGAATAGAGAGGCCTCGGGCCCGTAGAGCTCTCCCGTCCCTGCCACTCTACAGAGGGGGTCACTGGGGCCCCCGAGATAACGGATGATCCCAAGGTCAGGCAGCAAGTCTGGGCGTGGAGCTGGGGCTGGAGGCCAGCCTGCAAGAATGAAGCCCATCTGCCCCTTGCCCCCTACCACTGCACCTACCAGGGGCTCTTCCCCTCTAAGCACCCTTGGGGGCAGAGTGCATGTTCCAGAAGAAGGAGGGCCGCGGCCAGAGGCACAAAGCAGTAACAGTGGGGCCCGAGACACCTGGAGCAGGTGAGCTGTTGAGCAACTCTGGGATGAGAAGGACTTTCTGGCACACCTTCCGTCACACTCTGAGGGGACAGCTTAGCAGGGTGGGTCCCTCTCTTTCACTTCCTCTGTGACTTCAAGGGAGTGAGTGATTGGTAAATGTCGGTTCCCAGGAAGCCCAGAGGCCAGGAAACAGAGAAAGAGAAAGAAAGTGATAGAAACAGCCCCAAACCAGGCTTGACCACGCAGTTCCGGAGGGAACTGGTTGGGAAGTGACGTTGGCCAGCTTGTCAGAGTGTCTAGGACGTGATTGCACCCCTCCCGCCCTCCGCCCGCCCCTGCCCACCCCCGCGTGGGTGCCCGGGCCAGGGCCTCTCTACTTGGGCTTCATCTCCACCCGGGAGTTGATGTCGTCGCCGTCCAGCTCATACTCCTCCACCTGGCCGCTGGTCCACACCTTCACGCGGTCCGTGAGGTCGCTGCTGCGGGGGGCCAGGATGAAGTCATAGATGAGCACCGCCAGGGCTCCCCCGATGAACGGCCCGACCCAGAAGATCTAGGAACAGAGCAGGCCTGCTCAGAGGGCATCCACGGAAGGCCTCCTCTCCTGGGACACCTGCCCTGACGACCGGCGCCCCCCACGCCCCACCTTGTAGCACGGGCTCCCTCCCGCCCACACCTGGGGTTAGGGCAGGCAGTGCCGAACCCCAGTGTCCTGATGCCAGTGACCCCAGAGCTGGCCCAAGCCAGGGCTCTGGTAGTGGGCCGCTCCTTGCCTCTGTGTGCCCCAGCCCAGGGGGCCTGGTGTGACTAGACCAGCCCCTTCTTGAGGGTGGCCCCTGCCCCAACCTCCTCAGCTTCAGAAGGGCCACAGGAGTGTCTGGTTCGATAGAGTGTGGCCTGAAATAGAAACCTCGGCAGTTAAGGACGCTACATCCATTGAGCGCTGACTCTGCACTAAGCTCAACCTACAGGTGGTGAGGCCGTTCGTCCCAGAGGCCACCCGGGAGGGAGGGAGGCGCCACGACACCCCACTTTGTCGCTTAGGGAATGCAGGCACCAGGAGGGCCAGCAGCCTGCCCACGGCACACCGAGTGGGAAAGCAGCAGAGCTACGGTCCGGCCTTGCTCTCATGGCCACGCTGCTGGGATGTGGGCAGGCGACCTCCCGGACTGAGGTGTGACCCCCCACCATCCCCATGTCAGGCCTTGTCTGTCTCCCAGAGCCTCTGTGATGGGAGAAGATGCCGCAGGGTGGAGTTGGAACTGCCATTCAGCACCAAACCTTCCCACCACGTCCAGGGGACATCCCTGCACCCCCTTACCCAGTGGTCCTTGAAGTTATGTGTGATCACTGAGGAGCCGAAGGACCGGGCGGGGTTGATACCGCAGCCTGTGTAGTCGATCTGCAAAGGCAAGGGCAGGAGGCCAGAGGAGCCAGAGAAGCAGAGACAGGAAGAGGAGACACAGTGACATACAGGGAGAAGACAGGGAGGTGACAATCAGACCCCGAAAGAGGGGGGCACACTGACCCAGAAAGATGGTCAGGAGGTCCCTGTGCTGCCCTCTCAGAGCAGGACCCTGTCCCCCGCACCCCCTGCCCATGACAGGGTGCCTGGCCCTGTTCTCCCCATCCCCACCCGGGAAGACTCCACACTCACCGCCAGCAGGTGTCCCAAGGCCACAGAGAGGCCGATGGCCAGGGGGCCCGAGCCCCCGAGGTCACGCCGCCTCCTGTCCGTGGTGGCCAGCACGCACAGCACCAGCTGCAGGGTGCCAATGATCTCAATGCCCAAGCCCTGACCGGAGTTCACACCAGGGGCCAGCTGTGGGGAAGGGAGACAGCAAGGTTCCATGAGCAGGTGAGGTGGGGACCGTGTCCCAGGCCCCCCAGGCCCAGGCACCTCAGTGCCCTCAGAGCCCATCACATCAGCCCCCCGGCGGGCCCAGAGGGGGTCAGGCCCACCTAAGCACACGCTGCTGGCAGCCAACACCAGGCTCTGGCCCCTTCCACACCTTTGAGGAGGTGCCAGCTCAGCTCTGGTACCTGCCTGCACCTGCAGCTCCGCCCAGAGGTGAGGGGAGCCTGGGATGAGGCCGGGCATCTGCGTCCGGCTCCAGCCGGCCCAAGGACCTCGGGGTAGCAGAGTGCCCCAGGCAAGGGGCGAACCCCACATGTGGGAGGATATGGGCAGGGATGCTCATGGGAGTGGAGCACATGGGTGGGAGGGTCCACCTGGACACATTGCTTCACACCCCAAAAGTCCAGAACATTCCACCCCATTCCCTGCTCATCTGAAATCCCCTCGCCTCTCTCCTTGGGCCTCTCTCCCTTGCTCTCGGGCCCTCTGCCTCTCACCCCACCTCCCCTGGTTCTGCGTCTCTCCCATTTCTTCTCTGCCCTCCCCGTCTTCCCCTCCCTCTCCCTCCTGGACCAGCCCCCTCCTTCTCCCTGGCCACATCGGCCCCGCCACTACCGTCTGGCTGCCACTTGCTCTTGGGCCACTTTTAGAAACATGACTCATGGAAAAAGAAGGGAATGGGAGCTGCTGTGAGGTCACCCAAGCCCTCCTCCCCCTGTAGCTGCGCCAGGGAGCCCCCTCGCCAGGGAGCCCCCTTGCCCTCCCCTTTGGGGGGGTCTTAGGGGCCAGGTGCACCCGCACAGGGGAGCTGCTCCGCATGGGCAGAGACCCACTGGCAGAGATGCCCGGATGCGGCCACGTAGGCCGCCTTGCCCAGGCAGAGCTGCTGTGTCCCAAGGACCCTGAGCTTGAAGTCTCATCCTGGGGGCAAAGGGGGAAGGAGGGGGTCCTCCAAAGCCAGAGGACATTTTATAAAACCCTAGGTGGGGGGCCTTCCTCCGTCCCACTCCCCCACCCCCGAGCTTTCTCAGCCCCACCCTGAGGCCATCTTATAAGAACAATTCTCTTCCCGCTTTTGTCTGCAGTCCTGGGCCACAGGGAAAGTGACTCACATCCCCTCCCCTGTGAGGCAGCCCTAGCTATAGGCCTTTCCTGGCAGACCCCAGAGCTGTGACCCCCCAGCCTGGCCAGCCCTCTGGGCAATGCCCAGTTCTCTTCCCATCCCAAGGTTGGGTAATAGGGGCAGAAGCCCTGTGTTCAGGTCCTGACTCTCCGACTTGCTGATGCCACAGCCATGGCCTTTCTGATCCTCAGTTTCCCCCATCTGTAAAATAGCTTTTCCCCCACCCACTTTCCAGAATGGCTGGAGTTTCAAAGGCAGTGGGGGTGGGAGGGTCTTGGGGCGTTTGGGAAGGGCTGCAGAGGTGGGAGGGACCAGGACAGTTGTGGCTTTGTTCTGATTCTTTCTCACCTTATTCCCAGGAATGGGGCGGGGGGGGGGGGGGGGGGGACGGACAAGCAGAAGGGGAAGGACCCTGCGTAGGGTTGTGGAGACCCGAGTGAGGCCTGCCTGGAGCCAGGACGGGCTGTGGAGGAGAGGCCAGTGAGACAGGGCCGACTTGTACAGATGCCCGTCAGGCTCACACCTGCCGCACACTCCTCCTCTTCTTGCTCCCTCTCCTCTGCTCCCCAGGCTCAGCCTCATTGCTCGAGGGCAGGAGTCCTGAAACCAGGCCTGGTGCTACGTGGCTCCTACCACCTATCCTCCCCCATCGCCACCGTCTCACAGACGTGGCTTGGGCAAGCTCATCTCCTCCCTCAGTTCTTAACCAGGTCTGAGTACCCCAGCCCCTGCTTTGCCCAAAGGCACAGGTTTTCATGCAAAGTGAGCAGAACAAGGGGGCCAATGCCATGGCCAGCACTCTTGAGTCCACAGGAAGCGGAGAGGGTTCCACCTTCCCTGGGGAACCTTGGGTTATAACCCCTTCCTGACCACCCAGAGCCTTTAGCTCAGAACCACATGGGGTTGGCGAACTTCCTCTCTTAAAACCCATCACCACCACCACCACCACTAGGAAGCCTCCCCGATTGCTTCAGCGTCTACCGACCGCTTCTCTTTTGACCACCAATGCACTTGTGTGACTTACGTCTGGCCAGACTTGATAATTCAGAACTGAGAGGGATAGTTAGGGGTCTGTTGAAACTTGATGTCCAGGAAAAAGCAGGTAAAAATTCAAAACATGTTACTGTGCATAATCCGTTAAATTTGAAGCAATTGCTTAAATAGGGCTAATCTCAGTTGTGGCCACTTAATATTAAAATATATATGTATATGTTTGCACATCCTCAGGGCGTTTTGCCCAGCCTAGGTCTTACAGGTCACTACTTAAGCCCCCTTCAAAAAAAAAAAACCAAAACAAAACAATCAGTTTTATGAATACAAGTGTGAACCACAGAATAGTCCCCACATGGAACCTGAAGCATCAGAAAGAAGCAAGTCCTCCATTTTCACATCCTACCCATGTAAGCTCACACCCAAGGCCCAGTTCAAACCCCACTAACTCCAAGAAGCTTCCTCCGGCCCCTGGCTGGAACTTTCTGTGGCTATGTCATCACGCTGTCACTGAACTGCCTGCAACTCTTGCAGGGAAGTAAGCCTCCTGCCTTTTCTGTGGGTACCTCAGACCCCTGGCCTGGCAGCTTGGCGAGGACAGACCTTCCTGTCTCGCTGCCTCAGAGGGAATACTAGCTGGGTAGTGACCGAAGTAGTAGATAATGCTAATTTTCTAGAACTTCCACCCTGTTTAGAGGCAGCCTGTTTAGAGGAAGCTTTCTGGGTTCAGGGCTGGTTTCCTTGCTTTTTGGCAGGGAGGCCACAGGCTGTCATTAGCTTTTGTGGGTCTTATGGGGCAGTCCGTGCAAGCCTCTGTGAGATAATGGATGAGGAGGCTGAGTCCCCAGGAGGAATTAAGAAAGCCAGGATCCGGGGATCCCTGGGTGGCTCAGCAGTTTAGCACCTGCCTTCGGCCCAGGGCGTGATCCTGGAGTCCCAGGATCCCGTCCCACATCGGGCTCCTGGTGCATGGAGCCTGCTTCTCCCTCTGCCTGTGTCTCTGCCTCTCTCTCTCTCTCTCTCTCTCTCTCTCTTTCTCTGTCTCTCTCTTTCCCTCTCTGGGTTTCTCATGAATAAATAAATTAAAAAAAAAAAAAAAAAAAGAAAGGAAAGCAAGCCAGGATCCTTGTCCCAGCCAAGGATCCTGACTATCTACAGGTCCAGCCAAGGGACCTGGCTGTTCCTAGCTGGGACTGAGGAGCGAGTGGAAGATGGCCCTATAGCTGCCAGTGTGACCCAGGCTCCAGCACGGCGGGGGCGGGGCAGGGGCTTTGTACATGACAGGGCCAACCTCTCTAGACAGTACGCCTCGACCCATCCCTGCTGCCCATGGACAGAATGACCAAGGTAGCTCCCTAGGCCCAGGGCCCCCACTCAGAACCTGGGCACCCTGGTGTCCCACCCTTGAGGAACAACAGCAGGTTCCAGAACCAAGCCTGGCTGCACTCTGAGCATCCAGTTTTGAAGAACAGGGGAAGGGAGACATTGAAGCCTCCAGGACTCAGCACTCACAGCGAGGGGGACCTTAGTGGGTCCCTCGTGTCACCCCTTCCTAGGTATTCCTGTGCGCAGGTACCTCTGGGTAGCCATGCCCTTGTCCGCCTCTGTGGATCTTTGTAGATTGGTATCTGCAGGATCTGGGGCTGATCCTATGGGTCCAGGTGGGATGCTCTCCTTTTCTTTTTCATTAGACATTAAGAGGCTTATTGCATCATAATTGAACGAAAAGTCTATCAAAGAGCTGCATGAATTCTAAACTTATAAGCACCGAACAAGACAGCCTCCCCCAATTGACAAAAATTGAGTTTTAAGGCGAATCTGATCAATCCTCCACCAGCGTGAAAGAGTTTACCGACCCCTCTCTTAGAAACGGATAGATTAAAGCAGTTAGACAATATAAAGAGCGCCAACAGGGAGGATTTGAGCCACCTGATTACCAAGCTTGATGTAAGGAAAATAAGTAAAGCCCTGCACCCCAAATTCGAGAATATCTGCTCTCTCTCTCGGCTCATGTGGACACCCAGACCAGCTAGTCGTGTATGGGCCCTGGTGGCCCACCTGTCTCTGAGAATCCCGATCACACAGGTGCCCTCTCTTACCAGGTGGGCTCAGTATGTCAGGGTTGGGAGGGGGTGTCTCTGTGTGGAATGTGGCCCTGCCTGACAGTGTTGCATGTCTGGTGGCACTTCTGGGTGTGCCATCCTGTCCCTTGGCATTGCACAGCTACACACAGGTGCCACCACTGCCTGCGGAGAGGGGCGGGGGAGGGAAGGGAAGGAGGTCCCCTTGAGGGACAGCCAGCCAGCTGCAGGTCTCAAAGGGCCCTCACTGGCTCCCAGAAGCTACTTCATCTTCCTGACAAGGAACAATACACAAAGCAATGGCTTCTGCTTCCCTCCCTCCTTCTTTTCCTTGCTCCAGGGCAGACCCCATCTTCCTGCCAGGGAAAGGAAGAGGCTCCACTGAGGAGCACCTACCGCCACCCTCCTAGGACCGCAGGGCCTGAGTGGCTCTACGGGGACCTGTGTGTACGCCCAGGTGCTGTGCGTGTGTGTGTGTGTGTGTGTGTGTGTGTGTGAGAGAGAGAGAGAGAGAGAGAGAGAGAGAGAGAGAGAGAGAGAGCCTGTGCAGAAGCTAGCGCCGGGCGGCAGGCTGGGGGCATGGGCCTGCCCTGCCCTGATCTGCTATGCAACCGCACAATCTCAGTGCCCCGGTGGCCTCTGTGTCCTTATCAGTAAAATGGAAGCGTTGGCCCGCACGGTAACCCGGGATGCCCCCCAGTCCCCAGGACCTGCTGTCGCCCTCCCAGCCAGGGTCCCCGCAGAGCCATCTGAACTGGGCTCTCAGTGTGGCCCACAGCCTGTCACAGGTCCTCCCTCCCAGAGCGGCCAGCGGAGGACAGGTCACCTGTGCACGCCCCCAGGGACAGGGAGCCTGTGGGCCCTCTGTGGCCCCTCCCCAGATACAATCTGCTCCTTGCACCGAGCAGACATCTGTTCCTCTCTAGTTGCCCAAGGGGTGGGATTTCAGGCCCTGAGAGGAGTTGCTCATGGGAATGGGGCATTTTCTAGTCTTTTTGGCCATCTTTTGAGTTGGGGGTTTTAACTCCACAGGACTGCAGCTCCTTGGTTATATGAAGACAGTCCCTTGCTTATCCCCCTGAGCACCAGTGTGGGGCAAGGAGCGCCCCCCCCAACACCATTCCGGGGAGGAGCCCTGGCTGGGGCAGACAATGGCCATGACATTTTCCTCCCCACACCTGCAAGCGTGTTGACTCAGACCTGGCCATTCAGGAGACCCCAGACCCACTGGTGCCTCCAGAGGGCAGGGACCACGGCCCCCAGGGAGGCACCGCCAGCAAGAACAGGGGGCTCTTCGGGAAAGCTTCCCTGAGCCAGTCCCCACAGTGTGGGCATGAGGCAAGTTTGACCTGCCTGGGGGAAGCCCTGGTGGCTAATGCTGAAGGAACCCCCAGGGGGTGGGGCCCCAGAGAAAGTGGGGAGCGCTCTGGGGCTGAGCTCTGGGTGGGGGTGCTCCATGGAGTCGTCCGCACTGAGCAGTGTGAGCAGGAGGCTGTGTCCTGGGGGCCGGGGGCGGGGGGAGGCGAGTCCCTGCAGACTGAGCGCTCCAGCGGGGCACGTCCCCTGGCAGGGCATTGCGCTTTCAGAGCAGGGGCTCCCAGAGTGAGCCCTGGTTAGGGCCGAGCTCTGGGGTGGGCCGCATAGGGCTGGCGAGGCTGCTCCAAGGGCCCTCACAGGGGAAACTGCCTCAGAATTTTCCGTGGTGAGGGAAGTCTCCACCACAAAGCTCCTGCCTCTCTACGCCCTCCCCCTCATCTGGTTCTGGCTGGAAACAGTAATTATAGGTCCCGGCTATGGCACCACCACCCAGCCCCCAGCCCCCTCTCCGGGCACGTCCATCTGAAAACTGGCTTTCCTTTCCCTAAGCCACCCCCAGCCCTGGAGGAGGCTGCAGAGGTCGGGGGGCGGGGGGCCCTCAACCCTGGAAGAACTCGGGGCCCATGCAGGCGACGGGGGCCAACAGGGAAGGGACGACCCGTCCACTCTGTGGTTGGGGAAACCGAGCCTCAGGAAACTGGGGAAGGGGAGAGTTTAGGGCTGAGGTCAGGCCCCGATGTAGCAGAGAGAAGCAGTCCCCAGGCTCAGGCCCAGAATCAGCAGGGCTGAGAGAAGACCCCGAAGAGAGAAGGCCTGAGCCCGCACCACCCCCCTGCCAGGGGGATGCTAAAATCACCGGCTGGGGGACCGCCAGGCATCCAGTACCCTCTAGGACACAGGGAGACCCTGGCCCGAACCCCAGCCCTCCACTCTCCAGAGCCGCAGCCTCCCACGGGTTCCCCCACCCATCAGCCACCCTGACCTCCCATTGCCACCTTGCCTGTGCTCACACCCTTTCTCCACCTGGGAGCCCCTTTCCTGGGCCCCCATTCAGGCTCCCATGGCACCTCCTCCCTGAAGCCTTCCTGGCCCTCCCCATTGCTCAAAAGCAGACTTTCTCTTGCCGCCCTGACACCTCTTATCACACCTGCCTCCTGCCCCATATCGTGGGCAGCTGTGCGTGGGGCTTATCTTCCCCGCCAGGGGCCTTGGTCGGTCCAGGGGTAGGGAGCTGGTTGGTTGACTCAGCCCCTGGGGGGCCCCCAGCGGCCCCAGTCTGGTTAACAGGGAGCATGGGTGAGGGAGTCAGGCGGAGAATAAGAAGAGCTGGCTATGAGCGTCTTTCATTTCCCAGCGCCCGGCCACGCCCTGCCCGTCCCGTTTCACAGATGGACTGGGCCACACAGGCTAGGCTGCTGGCATGAAGCGCGTCAGCCTCTGACTAGGGCAGGGTCAGACGGGGCCGCCGACCCCTGCCTCCGACACTCTTCACTTTGGGTCGAAATCAAGGTTTGGCTCTTAGAACCACCCGGGATCCTCCAGGCTGGACAGAGGCCGGTGATCTCTCCAGGGCGTATCCTAAACCCTGACTCAGTGAGAAGAAAGTTGTCCCCACCATGCCCCCGGGGGACACCCCCTGACTCACCCCAACCGATTCCTGCCTCCTCTTTCCCTATTTTTCTGAGGAATCTCCATGCCAACAAAGGTCTCCACCTAGATTTGGGCCAGGGTGGGGCCCAGGGCCCAAGGGGCTGTGGGAGCCTCCCTCTGAGCCTGGGGGAAAAAGTGTGTCACTTGCTGCAGAGACCGCTCTCTGCCTCTCTTGAGGCATCGGGGCCACCTGCCAGGAACTTCAGATGCCTTCACATCGCAGGTCCAGTGTCTGACAGGAGCCCTGGGAGAGATGCTTTCTGTTTCTAGGCCCAGACTTGTGCTTCAGAACCCCAAACCTCCCTGGTGTAGACAGGACAGTGCCTGCACCCCACCACAACACTCAGCAATCTTATGGTCAGCGAGACCCCCCGTGGGCTCCTCTTAGCCAGACCCTCCTGGGAAGGGTGATAAACACAAGTCCCCAAAGTGAGCTTGCTGGTGGTTTAGGCGGGGCCAGGAATTATCTATAAAGACCTAGGTTCCTTCTTGGAGTCTCAGGATCCTCAGCTCCAGGGAAGCGCAACAGGTTAGCAGCAGACAGGACGTGAGCCCGGCGTGCTTGTCCCCGGCAGGAGCCTGTCCCTTTATCTCCCCCAGCTGCCAACCGCCCAGCCAGGCATCTGGGCGACTTTGCAAAACGGGGGAGGCCGGAGCAGGGAAGGGACACTGGAGCAGGCTGCAGCCAGATGAAGATGCCACGGTAGGTGGCCACCCTCCCGGCACCTACCCGTGATGCCCGAGTCAGAACGCGACGTCTGCCCACAGATGCCTGTCCTGCCTGTCCCTGGAGAAGGAGGGTCAAGACAGGGCAGGGGCCTGCGGACATTCAACCCCTCCCCAACGGGCACCTTTTCGCCACCGCCCGCCCTGCCCACCGAGCCAGCCCGAGGCTGAACCTGACCCCACCCGGGGGGCACTCCCCGGGGTCACCTGGCCCTGCCCCTCTGGAGAGCCTGCCGGAGCTCTCGTCCCTTCCACCCACCTCGGCCACCACGTTCTTCCCCGACTAAAGTCTAAACTCCAGCCCGCGGGCTAATCTTCAATCTTGGGCGGAGCAGCGGTTGGCTCCGCGAGGGGGCCGGGTAAGGTGTCACTGTGACACAAGAAGTGCTAATCCCCCCCACCCCGAGCCAAGGCCTTGCCAGCTGCCCTCTGCACCAGTCCTCACCAAGCCTCCCCGCAGCTGCAGCACCAGGATCTGAACTTTGGCTGGGAAGCGGGACAACAATCGCTATAATCCCGGCCCCGCTGTCTCTGGGGCCCTGGGCTGGCTCCCTCCCCGTCCCTGCCCCCGCCTGCCCTGCCCAGGCCCCGAGCCTCGATTCTGCAGATCTGGTTCCTCCCGTGTGCACGTGCGCCGCTCCCCTGTCCCGGGAAGGCACCCTCCGAGCCTTCCTCAGCCTCTCTCAGGCCAAGCCTCCCCCGGCCGCGGTGGCCCCAGGCTGGGTCTGAGTTTGCACTTGGCCGAGGGTCTGGAAAAGCCCAGGTCTGTGACAGCAGGCAACTGCCGCCAACGGCCAATTAGCTGTGCTAAGCGGCCCGGGAGGAATTCTTTGCAGCAGCCTGCCACCCACTCACCAACATCTGCTCACCATTAGTGCCCCCGGCCTGGACCCCATTGGGGCCAGGGGCAATGGGCATGCACAGGTACACACTCACCGCGCCCGCCCCCCCGCCGCCCACTCACACAGCTGCACTAACACTCGCAGACACCCACGGGAGTGCACAGCTTACACAAGCCCGGAGACCCATGCCAGCATCCACGTGCACACACCGTTCACACACACAAACACACGTGCCACACCTCACGGTGCCCGGCGACAGAGAGTGGAGCCCAGACGGGAGGCGAGATGTCCCCACCCTGGCCACCACCCCTACTGTAATCCAGGAAAACCACCTGCAAACCAGCCAGAGAGTTTTCACCTGCCCCCACCGCACCCCAGCCGCCCCGCAGCTTCGTCTAACTCCCGGGGACCAAGGAGCAGGAGGGGCTTTTTCCCTGAAGGCAGTTTGTTTGGGGACCTGTGGGGCGGGCTGAGGGTCCGTGTGGCTGCCCATGGTCCTGCTCATGCAGCTGCTGACCCGCGCCAGTGTGCCAGGCACCTGGCTTCGGGGGGCTGGGGACAGCGGGCAGCGTGTCCCCAGGGTCCAGGCTGTAGGAAGAGGGAGCTGGTTGCCCCGGCCAGGCAGAGCGGGGACCTAGAAGCTACAGCCGAGGGGTGAGGAGCTGCTGCCCCCCCAAATGGTAGCTGCCTCCAGAGCTGATTCCCCACGAGAGAAGCCCGCAGGGGACACTGGCCAGACTATTATTCTCTGGGTCTCCGCTTCCCATGGTGCCTGGTAGGAAACGGGCTCCAGGCCACAGGTGTAGCTAAGTTCCAGCCCCAAGTCCTCATGACCTCCAGCCAGCTCGTGCCCTCTCTGCTCCTCGGTGTCCCCATCTGCACAATGGGTGAGGATGAGACCTATGCCGCGTGTGCTCTGCTCCAGAGCCCAGCACCTGGGGCCACCCCACGTACCTCGTTTCGGCCGAGGGAGTTGTCCGGAAGGGAGGAGGTGATGCCCGAGAGGATGGCAGTGGCCACGATGGCCCCCACGCACTGGGCGATGATGTACATGACAGCCCTGAGGATGCTGATCTGGCAACTGAGCAGCAGCCCCAGCGTGACAGCTGGGTTGAGGTGGGCGCCACTAATGTGGCCCACGCTCTGGGCCAGGGTGGCGATGCTCAGCCCGAAGGCCAGCGACACCTTCACGTTATCCTGGGCCGCACCTGCTGTCTGGTTGTTCCTCACCGGGTAGTTGAAGCCCAGGGCGGAACCGATGCTGATGAAGACGAAGAGGATCATGGCCAGGAACTCGGCCACCACCGCCCTCCAGAAGAGCTTCTTCTTGAACTCGCTGGCCATGCTGGCAGGGGCCTTGGCTTGAGACCGCTGCCTGGTGCTCGACTCCCTCCGAGAGCTGAGCCACAGCCCGGGCTGGGCCTATTTATAGGGCCCGGGGGGAGGAGAGGAGGGGGGGAGCACAAAGGGAGGAAGGCCTCTCCTTGCTCCTGGCCCGCCCCGCACTGCACGGGCCTCCTCTCAGCGATGGATGCAGACACAGCTCTGCTGTCGGCCTGCCAACTTTTTTCCCTCCCTCCTCTCCCCCCTCCCTCTCTCTCTCCCTCCGCCCTCAGCCCTGCCCAGCCCAAGGAGGCAGGCAGGAGGCAGCCACTGCTCTAATAGGCTTTGGGAAATTCCTCCAAGTTGGCCCCACTCAGGGGGCCAGAGAAATCCAGGTGTCCCCGCCCTATGTGCGGAGCTCAGGGGTGTCCACAGGCAGAGCCAGAAGCTCTGGATGGGGCGGGGTGGGTGGGCTGGACTCCACAGGTGGACTTTGCCTTTCCCGAGAAGTGGGGCACCATGATCCTGCTCGCCCCGCATCCCATCCCATCCCGGAGTGGCGTTATTCTGGACAGCACGGGTCCAGGGGTCCCCAGGGGCATTCTGGGTCTCCCACACCCTGGCCCAGGCCTGGCTACCAGATGTCACCCTAGGGATGCCCCAGGGGCCCAGCACAACTGGCCAGGCCCAGTTGATGGGGACACAGAGGCATTAGGAGGCACGGAGAGCTAGTCGGTGGCCCACCCCGCACTCTGTGGTCAAGGACAGGCCCGAGATAGGCAAGTAGCCACTCTGGGAGCCCTCATTGCTTCTGGAGCAATTAGAACCAACGATATCAGGGCAGGTGGAGAAAACAGAGGCAGTTCAGGATTTTCCTCTCCAGGGCTGCATGCTGGCAGACCACAGGGGGGAGAGGGAAGGAATGGCCAGCTAGCCTGGAGATGGAGGCAGAGACGAGAGAAGGAGAGAGGACACAAGACAAAGGGAGAGGCAGAGAGACAGAGTCAAAGGGCAAGTGAGACAGAGCAAGATCTCAGGCCAGGCTGAGGAGGAGAGACAGCCAGGGAGCAGAGACCGGGAAGAGACAAACCTGACAGAGGAGACGCCACTGGAACCAGCAGAGGCACGACGCAAGAGGGGAAAGGTGGGGTGGGTGGGGAAGAGGCCGGCCTGCAGACCCCTGCCCCCAGCCCCTGCCCTGCACGCCGCCAGCCAGAGGCCCGACAGCAGCCGGTAAGCTGTGCAGGCGCCCGGACTCCCCCAGGCAGGGGGCTCCTGCCGGCGGCCTGCCCAGTCGGTGTGCAGTGAGGGCAAGAGCAGCCAGGCGGGGCCGGGAGGGGGCGAGGCCAGGCCCGGGAGGGAGCGGCCCTCTCTGGGCCTCTCCTCCCACCTCCCGCCCGCCTCCCCGGTCCCCCACGGCTGTGTTGGCGTCTCCCCATTTTACAGCTGGCAGATCGAGGCCCAGCCGGGGAAGGACATCCCTGAATTCTGCACGCGCCCGGGGCGGGGCCAGGATGAGCCTGTGGCCCTTACGGCTCCCTCCCAAGCCCACCCGCAGTGCACACCCTGCAGTGCACACCGCAGCCACCAGGGATCAGCCTGGGATTCGCTGGGAGCAGGAGGCCCACCGGGGTGGAGGTGGCGTAGCTGTGGCCACCTAAGTACACTTGAGTGCCTGCAAGTACAGGATGGAGTGGATGCGAGGCAGGGAGTCCGTACGGTGGCCGGTGAGTCCTGCGTGCTCCGAAAGCCCCAGCGGACAGAGGTCATGTGTGCCTTATTAACCATCCAAGAGAGGGACCCAGCCAGACGGGGCCACCTCCCAGAACCTCCTCCACTTCCTTTCTTCTGGGCAGCACTTGTTGCGCTGTCCACGCCCCAGGAGCCTCCTTCACGCCCTGGCCCTGGGCATTCAGAGTGTCCAGGATCCTGTCCGCTGAGCTTCCTGGCCCCGATGGGGCCCACGTCTGTCCCCGCCCTCCAGCTGGTGCAGGGATGAGTTGAGGACTCAGCTTGGAGGCAGCAGGCGGAGGCCTGGCACTAGACCCACAAGGGCCAGGGGACTCAGGCCAGCGTGGGGGGTAAGGCATCTCGGAGGCAACAGGAGCCTGGGCATGCTGTGGCTTCAGCGACAGGGTCCACGGGCCAGGTCAGGGCCCACGTAGCTGAGGATGCTCGATGTGCCACTATGCACGAGGATGAGTCACGTGGGGCGTACTAATTTATTCACCAAATTTTTACTTAGCATGTGTCTTGTGCCATCCTGTTCTCAGCACTGGGGAGACGGCCACATGCCAGCGAGCCCAGCTTCTTGGCCTCCTGAAGCTTGCAGTCTAGCACGAACCTGCAGGCCCTGTGCTCCCGCTCTGGGCGGTGGAGCTTGTCACTGTGCAGGGCACATGTGCATGAGTGTGTACTTGTCAGAGGTCCACCTCCTTCTGGAGCAGGGCAGGATCGGGGGACCCAGAGTAGGCAAAGTGCTTTTGCCAGGGCAGATTAGGCACCTGCCAATCTCAGGATGACGTGAGGGTCCTCAGGACAACACCCCGGAAAACCACAGTGTCTCCTGCCAACCCCCCGCCATGCCGGCTGGGCCTCTGCCTCGAATGCCACCCACCAGTAGAGTTCCGTTCCCTCGGGCAAAGGCATTGCCATCAGCAGAATGCAGAGGTCTCCGCAGTAATGCTCACCTACTCACCCACCATCTCCCACAAAGCAAGGGGGCCTGTGTGGCCACGACCTGCTGATTTCAGTGTGAAAGGGAGAAGGCCTGCCGCTGGAGCCCCCGCCCCAGGAAGGCCGCAGAGCCCATGACCTTCCTCTCCCTGGACTGCCACAAATCCCGCCCAAGTAGGGAAGGAAGGGAGGAAGGAAGGGAGAGAGAGAAGGAGGAATGAAGAGAGAGAGAAGGAAGGAGGGAGGGTGGAAGGAAAGAGCCTCTGGTGAGGGCTCATCGTCACCACACCCCTGGGATGCTCCAATGGTAAATGATTTGCCAAAGCACAGCAGAGCTGAGATTAGAACTCAGTACCCCCTAATTCCCAGAACTCCAGGCTGGTTTTCTGGCTGCCTGTCAGGAAAGGCTCCTGATGGTCCCAGGTACCAGATGGAAACCCGGTAACAAGTTCAGGACTGAGGCACCCAGGCCCCAGGATGGGCAGGGGATATGGGGGGAGAAGTGGGAGGACCCTCTGCAGCTTTTCTGTGTAATGAGGTGCGGTGAGGGGTGGGTGGGGAAGGAAGCATGGACTGAGGGGACACACAGAGAAGCTTGGGCTCTGAGGCAGGGTGCGACCTCCTCCCAGCTCCTCCTCCTCCACTGTGGCCGGACTCTGGTGAGCTCCGTGTCCCTCCCACGGGCAGCGGCCTGGGCCCAGCCACCAGATCCGCGGGCCTGAGCCAGGCTAAATAAGAGGGGCCCGCCCCCACCAACCCCCCAGCTCCGAGCCCAGGGCGGGGCCCGAAGCCGCTCGGGCGGGCACTGTCTGGCCCTCCTGGAGCAGCCGTCTCGGAAAGCGTTTTTCCAGATGTGCCTTATTCCCGACGTGCCCGGCGAGACCCACTTTCCAGTCGGAGCTGGTTGTTCCCAGGACGGTCTGGGCTCCAGCCCCGCCAGGATCCAGTGGGAGAACCTCAGGCTTCGTCCAGAGATGGGTGCACAGATCCTCAGATGCAAGCTAAGGAGCGGGACCTCGGGCTGTGTGGGGAGAAGACACCCACGGGCGTGGCCGCGGTCGCCAGTCTCTTCGCCAGAAGCTTCTGTGGGGCACAGGACAGAGGGGCCGAGGGGAATGGACCCTCCCTACGGGGCAGGGCAGGGATTTCCCACCCCCAGGCCAGGTCGTGGGAAACAATGACTTCATTCCCTCCGGGAGGCCCACCAGGAAGATGGAGTTTGAGGCGGAAGGGCCTTCTGATAGCAGTCTGGCCAAGACCTTGCAGTCACCACCAGCTCACCAGCAGGCTGCAGGAATCTTCCAGAATCACTCAGGCTTTCCTGAACAGAGGCAGAGCGCGCTAACGGAGGGTGGGAAGACAGGACAAGGTCCTGGGGAGGGGGTGAGAAATAACAGAATGCCTTTTCCCAGCAATGCCCCTCAATAGGGTGCTCAGGGCATCCCTCCCCTGCCCTTGATCTAGGACCTTCCAGCCCTGGCTCTTGGCTGCACAGATGGGGCCTGCTCCCCCGCCCCCGCCACCACCACCACCACTGCCAGGGAGCCACGGGCCAGGGAGGCATGGGCCAGGGCGAGGACTTGGCACTAGTGTGGAGCCACCCCTCCCCGGGACCTCGGCCAGCCCCCCACCCCTGAGCCTGGGGCAGCAGAGGAAGGATCCAGGTCCAGAGCTCAGAGACCAAAAAGAGGACAGCATGTTCCCCACCCTCCTCAGCCCAGTCCCAAAGGCTCTGCGCTCACCACCACCCCTTCCCAACTCCAGACGAGGGCCCTGGTCCCTGTGCCGCCGGGCTCGCTGTTCCTGGATATTCGCCTGTACATGCTTCCTCCTGCCGGGCACCTTCCCTCCTGCCCCTTCCCAGCTGCCCGGCCTCCCCCGACCTCCTCCACGGTAACTGTGGAGGTTAAGGCCATGCACCCTAGCCTCCGCCCACTTCTCGTCCCCACCTGTCCCCTGATGGCCCCAAGCGGGTGAGGCCAGGCTGGAGCACAGGGCTGGGGTCATCTCTCTCCCCGCCCGCCGAGGCCTGAGCAGAGCCAAGCTCTGGGCCCAGTGTGCTGGGGGATGATCCAGAGGGCATCCGGTTCCCCCGAGAGACCAGCACCCACCTCTCAAAGCCTGTGAATTCCTCCCTGTCTGACAGAGGGCTCCTGCCCGTTTAGGTGTCACACGATCCCCCTTAAATCAAAACCGGATTTAGCAGGGCCACCAGAACCCACCAGGCAAAACAATTTAGGAGCTTTCTAAGCTACTTCTCCTCTCGCCGCCTTCCCTGAGCTGCACTGTGGCTCGTTGTGCGTGTGTGTCGGGGCAGGGGGAGCAGCGATGTCAAGCCTATTTCTGGAAAGTGGAATTTCCTATGTTTTACCAATTCTCCAGCAACAGCCCCTGCTTGATGCTGCAGAGGAGGAGCCAGAGAGACAAGATGGGGACTGTTGCCCTCAGCCCTGCGAGGGTCAACGAGCATTTGACACGCCACGTCCAGAGATGGGAGCAGGGATCTGAGAATGGGCTGGGCTCCCAGGCCTGAATGAGGGTGCCTTGAGGACACAGGGCTGCCCCCTGTCCCACCCCCAACTCTGCTTGGACTGGAGGAGAGAAGAGAGAATGAAGTCATGGTTTCCCTAGCCCTGCCCTGCGGGCGAAGAGGCCCTACTGGGCCAGGAGGGCGGCATCCCTTGTTTCCAGAAAATGCTGGTGGTGGTGTTTTTGCCAGGCTGGACAAAGGCTCTGCCTTGACCCAGCCCTGGCAGTGTGGGTCCCCGGAAGGGAAGTCCTCATCATGTGAAGAAGTGACTTCGGAGCATTTCCTGTCCCTGGGCACACACGCACCCCTCTCCCCTGGCCTGGTTGCCACTGCAGCTTCCACCCCACTCTTCCAGGCCCCTACCTTCTTGCCTGCATCCTCAAAAATCTCCTGTCTGCGCCTTCTTAGATTATAAAGCATCGAGATTGGGAAAAGAGGCTCTGATTATCATTGGCTCTGATGCTTTCATTTTACACACGGGAAACTGAGGCTCAGAGAAGCGAGATGACATGCCCAGGCTCGTTCTGTGGGTCGGGGCAGAGCCAGGACTGGAGTCGAGGTCTCCTAACTGCTGCCTAGGCCGGGTCTGCTAGCCACACCCAGCTTCTTCCTCCTCTCTTCTCTGCTTGGTGAGAGGCCATCTCCTCCCTGGACTCCAGCAAGGACTCAGAAAAGTACCTTCCTGGAGCAAGAAGCCAGAGACCCCCCGGCAGCCAGAAAGGTTCCATGAGGGGGCCGACCTTCTAAGCCCCCACCCCCCGGACCTGACGTTTCTGTCTCCCAGCAGGGCCCAAGCCAGTGTAAAGGCATGCCAACCCCCCACCAATGCTGTGGTCCCCAAAGTGTCTACCCCCGCGGCTCTTTGAGGTCTGCTCAACTTTTGAGATTTCCCATGCTACCCTGCCCCTGTCCCACCCCACCCCTCACCTATAGCTAGTCCGTAGAGGGAGTGTCCAGATGCTCCCAGCAGGTGCAGCAGGGACTACGCTCTGTCTCCTGCTCCGGCCCCTCTCCTGGATGCCTCCATGCCGTCTGGGTCCCCGGCCTCACTGCCCTCCTGTGGGTCCTGCAGCCGCCACCACCCCTCTCTACTGCGTCTTCCTCAGCTGGGTCTCTTTCCCGAAAACCACCACGGCTGCTGGATCCTGCCCCAGCTGCCCCTTGATCCCATCATCCATGCTGGGTTGCCCTCACCTCCTCTGGGTCCTGCTGCTGGGACAAACTGGGTGCTTCACTGGGCCCAAGCCTCACTGGTTTCTTTGACTTTTCTCTATAAGCAAAGCCCATCTGGGTTCCTCGAGTGGGAACAGGTGCCGGCCCAGATGCAGCCTCATGCTCCATGCTGGGCCCTACAGCAGGACTGCTTCAATGCCAGCGGGTACCACAACTTTAGAGAAATTGTTCCTCTGTGCTAGTAGCTCTGCTCACAGCTCACCACCAGGATTAATATGTTCATCTTTATATCAACACAGTCGTAAAATTCAGCTCTTCATATTTTTTATGGAGCCCTCTCGGCCCATGAAATTAAAAGAGCTCAGGGTCCATAAAAGTCATAATGTGGCCCTGGCGACCGACATAGCCATCCCCCACCACCACCACTGTGGCTAGACAGCAGGGCACAGGGCAGGGACAGAGATGAGCATGCCCCAGCTAAGCTCAGACTGACCTCTCCAGTAAGTAAAGCATATTCCTGGGCTGAGCTGTGTCCCCAGCCCTCTCCTCCATGATGAATCTTCCATCTCACTTGCCTTCCCCTGCCAAGTCACACCCAGCCAGGGTGCCACCACATAGACTCAGCTGTCCCCTGATAGTGAATGGGCTTTCATGCTCACCTGTATGCACACACACACACAGCGTGTGCTTGAACACACGTGTACATACCCCCAGGCAGTGCACAGGTGCACCCCAGCATATGCATCTGTTACCTAACACACGGTATGCCACACATGTAGACACGTGCAAACATGTGTGCATACTCAGACATATGCAAGTGCACGCATATCCTCACATGCATCTAAATACAGACTCACACGGTGGCCAAGCAGCCCTGCACCTCCTCTGCTGTGTACACTGTGGCTTCTGTTGCCTATACCCTGAACTCCAGGGACTCTGCACAGTGTCTTTGGCCCCTTTGAGTGCTCATGGCTATTGCCACCTGTGCTGCTCATAATCCTGGGCCTCTCTCATCTCATCTCCTTTCTCCTTTTCGGGGAGCTGACTTTAAATGGTGGAGAGGAGGAGGCATTGGGCAGGAGGAATGCAGTGCTGGGCGCTTCTGTAACTGCATGGCTCCAAGGTTCCTCTCTTGGGAATATGCTAAATGTGTCCTAGTCTCTTCATTCCCAGCCAGGAGCCCCCACCCTGGGTGGGGACAGGGACTGAATCTGACCCAGCTCTCTGCTCACAGCCAGGTGGTGGACAGCCTCAGTGTGCAGAGCAGCTCAGCAAAGTTTTCAAAGGTGAACAGAGCAAGCTGCCCGCCACCCCACCAGACAGGGTCAGGAGGGGTGTTCCGGGCCCCCCTGGAGTGGGGATGGGCTGGTTCACCTCTGGGACCACCCTCTTTCACTCTGGACTTCCTAGGATGCCATGATGCTGTGGTCTGGGGCTGGCAGGGGTGAGTCTAGGAAGGTGGGAGGTACCCACCCTTATCCCCGTCCACTGGAGACCCCTCCCTCTGTGGTCCGCTCTGGGGATTCTATTCATGTGAAGCCAACATTCCTGGAGCCCACAGGGCCAGCAAGATCATCTCACACAGGCAGATCGCTGTCTTGCCTAATGAGAAAATGATGACATGGCCCCCTGCCCCGGGCCCCTGCGCCCAGCCAGGCTCTGGCTCCCCAGCCCCCAGTGCCACCAGTTTCACCCCAATGCACACACACCTCCTGCTTTGTGCTATTTTCTGCAGGTGTATCCACTGGTCAACTCACAGGGCTGTGCCACCCCTCTAGGGCCCTCTTGTCACAAAGGGTTGGGTACCTCTGAACACCCAGAGTGTTAGACCATTAGGATAGGAGGTCCTTTGGGTCATTAAGACAAAAGTAAACTGAGGCCATGGGCTGAAGTGGTTTCCCCCATGTTGAGCACAGTGACCGCCCTGCCCCATCAGCAGAGCAGCAGCCAGTAGGGCAAACGGTGGACCAGAAAGGGCTTGCAGCATGAGGGAGGCAGGACTCCCTGCCACACACACCCTGCTTCATCCCTGCACACCTCCTCCTCCAGGCCAACCTCACTGGGGACTCTGAAGAGCCAGGGTCTGAGAATTTGGGGATACAGTGTCTAGAATTCAGGAAGCCCAGGTCCTGTTATGGTGATCCTGTCTCTGCCCAGGCCAGGCTCAGTCCTAAAAGAAGATAAATATACAGCGTTGGCAGCAGCCAAGGGGTGAGTGAGAAGCCTCCCCCCAAGCACTCCATGTTCAGGATTCAGAAGCCAGCTGGGAAAGAGATCTGGGTTAGCTGCCTGCCTGCATCTTCCACTCATCCCCACCTTGCCAGTCTAAGAGCAAGTGGACAGAGGAGGAGACCCAGGCCATGGGTTCCCTAGTGGTTGGGGGGCCAGATTCACAAATATAAGGCAGTCAGAGAAAAGCCCAGGTGGTTACGGGCTGGAGGTGGGGGAATGATCAGTGAGGGTGGGAGAAATCACTAGAAGCCTCTCTAAAGGAAGCAGGACTTTGAATCATGGCATTTCAGGATCCGAAGGGATCTCAAAGGCTGCCTAAAATGGCACATCAGACCCAGGATGCTCCTTGATATCATTCCTTCCAGAGGGCTATGATCCTCTACATGGGTACTTACCCCACGAGGACAGCTCATGGGAATGGTTAGAGAGTTGCTTATGCACGGACACAGGCCCCATTTTCTGGGGGTTGCCACTTCTCAGGAAGGCCAACCCCAGGACTCTCAGGCCCTCTGCGCTCCTCTTCATCCTGGCAGTGGGAGGCGGGGTGGGGGGAAAGGGGTCAGGGCTGGGCACAATCATACCAACACAATCCCATTACCCCAGGAGTGGCCAAGAGCCCAACTGTAAGACGATCACCTTGGTCCACAAGGGAGCAGATACCTGGCTCGTGAAGGGTCCCCTCTCCTGGGCACTTGCCCACCACCTGCCTCATCCCTATATAGACAACAACCTAAGAGGACTCCCATCCCACACCCCTCAGTGACCTGACCCTGCCAGAGAGCAGAACTGAGGGTCAAAATCAAAGCCAGGGCTGGTTTGATGGAGTGAGGTCAGGCTTGGGCAGGGCTGCTGCTGAGGTCAACGTCTTTGGTGGAGAAGTCAGTGTAGGAAAGGGGAGAATCATTCCTGGTCTTACTGCATATACCTTTTATAGCTGTTCTAAAAGCATTTGAGGATTCCATCAGCGCTTCTCCCACTGTAATGTGAACACGAATCCCCTGGAGGTCTTATTAAAATGCAGCTTCTGATTCAGTAAGGTCTGGGTAGCGCCCAAGATTTTGCATATCTAACAAGCTCCCAGCTGCTACCAAGGCTCACTGGTCTTAGGACTTTGAGCAGCAAAGGTCGGAATTATGAAACAAAACACTAGTCTAGTTAAAACAAAAAACACCGGGAAGGAGGAAGCTTCTTATGAGACCAGAAAGAGATGCAACTGAGCATCACGTTCCATCCGAGCTTCCCGGAAGCCATGGCAAGAAAGGAAGACACGTTCGCCAACGGTTACTCTGTGGTAACAGAGGCAGCTGCCTCTGGTCGGGAGGACGTCTTTCCCCTGATTCTGGCTGCCCAGGGAACTGATGGAGCAGCCCCTATTAGGAGGAGCAGGCCTAATGTTTCAGGGGGGCATTTGGGTCTCCCTGTGAGAAGGGCTGAGCCATGGCACCCACCGCAGTGGGGCGCATCCCTGATGGAGAGCGTCACAGTGTGGATCACACAACGCCCCGGGGTGCCTCGCCTGGGGCAGTGCCCTGGTCAATGCCCATAGGAGACCGTCCTTCCACACTCGCTGGCTCAGACCCGAGCTGGGGTCTGAGAGGGGTTCCTGACAACACAGACGGCTTGCAGGCGGCCCGTGGGTGTTCAGGGGAGGGCCACCGAGACCTAGGCCTGAGCCTCAGGAAGGGGTGAGGTGGATTTGTGGGCAGCGGAAGAGCCCCACCTCTTTCCAGTAATCAGGAAAGTCTTCCTAGAGGAGGGGACATGGCAGACAGATTTGTTTATGTAAAGGAAGGGAGGTGGTTTGGGAAGAGGAAAGACCAGGGAGAAGGAGGGATGGATGGGTGGGCTTCCAGCCACGGCAGGTGGGGGGGAGGGCCCCTCACTGCCCCGCTCTCTGGGGCTGACTCCGACTCCCACGGGGGGCTGCTGGGACAGGGATGTGGCGCGCTCCTTGAGCCTGGCCAGGCCTCTGAGCCTGAATCTCGGCTTTCCCTCCAGGCTGGTGCAGAGGAGGCACCTGGGCCCTGCCTGCCTCTGCCCTCAGGGTGCTCCTCGCCCAGACCCGTGCTGGTGGGAGCTGGGGCCGAACGAGGAGCTGGCACGACTAGGCCACCGCACATGACTGTGGGCGCAGCCATGGATGGGACACAGGAGAGGACAGACTTGCTCAGCCTTGTGCCACATGGCTGTAAGCGGTGTGTCCCCAGGAAAGGACAACCCCAAGAGTCATCTCGGCCTACAAGGGTGTCCAGGGGGAGTGCAGCTGGGTCACACGGGGCTAGGTTCTTGGCTTCCCCAGCTCACCCCTTCCCAGGGTGACCGAGGACACACCCCTCTCCTCCCAGCCTCCTTTGTGATGAAAGGGACGACGTGCACAACCCCAATGACTTTCCAGAAAAGGAAATGGAAAGTCTTTAGACAAATAAACCCAAGGTGTGTCTGTGTTAGTGGGAAAGAAGGAAAAGAGCGCTTGGCATTTTCTGTGGTTGCTAAAGCCATAGGGGCTGGGGGGATGACAGGAGATGGGGTCTGGGGAGACCCTGAGGCTGGCTGCCCACTCCCACCTTGGCTGGCCAGCCTTCCGCTGGGAAGGGCTAGACAAGGGGTCTGACTCATCCTTCTCTCTGGGACGCTCACAGGGAGGCATCTGAATCGAAGGGAAGACCAGGCTCCCATGATAGATTGTAGGTATGGAAACCCGGGAACTCACAGGCATTCCTGAAGGCCCTGAAGTCTCAGGCCTGGGCTGGTGACTGGATAAGCAATCAGGGAAGACAGGGGATAAGGAGCTCCAGGAAGTCTCTCACTCCTCCGCCCTGTGTTGGGGCCTCCCAGGAGGCAGGGGAGCAAGTGAGAACCTGACACCTGCCATCCATTAGCCTGGAGGCCCTGGGCAAGTGCCTTGGCTCCCAGAGACTCAGTTTCCCCATCTGGGAGGGGGAGGTTGGAGGGAGGAGCCTGTCAGGTGCCGCACACAGTGTCTGACACTGGTGCCCTCGTCTGGGTCTTGGGTGTGGTCTCCGCTCTGTAGAGCCACCTCATCCAGTCACTTCATTTTACAAAAAGTGGGACCGAAGCCCAGAGTAGAAAGGGAGGGCCCCACGGGGTGACCGGAGAGGAAAGCACATATCCAGTTAGCCCAGGAGCTGCTGAGGGCCCAGCAAGGGGAAAGGAGAGGAGGGACTACCATCTGGGGTGGGGGGGAGGGTTTGTGGTCAGGGAAGAGGTACCGACCCCTGGGGGTGCAGCTGGCCTCACTGTGTCACGGCGTTCCATGTGGTCATACTTCTTGTGTCTCAGTGAGTTAGACCCACCGCAGGTCCTGCGTCTTCCCATCCAGCTCCCAGGAGAAGAGCCAACATCTGCTGGGCACACACTGGGTACCAAGCTCTGTTCCAAGCACTGTGCATGGACCCCCCACACCAACCTTAAAAGGTACGAGCTATGATTATTCTTTTTATAGGGAGGAAAGCTGAGGCTCGGAGAGGTTTTGTTTTATTGTTTGGTCACTTAACTCAGGTGACACAACCCAGAAGTTGAAGCTAAGATCTAAACCTGGGCTGTCAAAGCCCCGGTTGGAATTCATAAGCACTCTGACAGGCTGCATGGTCCCCCGTCTTACGGTGCACACCACCTGGCAGGTGCAGCAAGGATCCCCCAAACCCAGGGATAGCACAGGTTCAGGAGAGCCAGGGGCCCCACAACAGCACATGTGGAAGAAGCATGAGTCTCGGACCAGGGTCCCGGGAGCTCTCTGTGAGAGACTCCTGGTCCTCGGGAGACAAGCAGTTCCCATAATGCCCACTAACATCCCAAAAGGCCAAGCTAGGGGGCCCAGGCTCTGTGAATGGAGGTGGGACACCGCACGCCAGGGGCCCTCCCCACAGCCACCGAGAACCCAGGAGCCATCCTGTCATCCTGCCAGCCTGGCCGTCGTCCATAGGCACTTGGAGGTGGCCAGGCCCAAGGGAGGCTGCTGGGCCCGTCCAGCTGGCCCAAGGTCACCAATGGCTGCGAAAACAATGGGCAGTGGGTCCAGCCGAAGCCGGGTCCAGAACAAAGGCCCGGGTACTTCCTCGCATTGAGGCCCCCTCCTTCATGATTTGCCAAGACGGGAGACGGAGGAAGCCTTCATCAGGAGGTAGGGATGTTTTGCAAAGACTGTTCCCAGGAGAACTGCAGCTGCCACTGCCCTCAGGGGAGCACGCACTGGGAACGGCTGCTCCAGGCCAGGCCTGCCTGCCGGGAAGCAGGGGAGAGAGGCGCCCTCCAAGCCCGCGGGCGCCCCCACCTTGCTCCCTAGACTGAATCACTGAAGTGCAAGGTGTCTCCAACCGACCGACCGCAGCTCCTCCCCGGGGCCCTGGCTCGGAGGGAGGTCAGCATCTGCCTTCTGAGCTGCCCTGCACGCTGCTGCAGCAAAGTCCTCTAAAGCAGCGTGGGGCCACCTCTGCCCTGCTCTAGGAACCCCCACAGCTGCCCAGCACACAGAGGGCGGCCTGAGCTCCTCAGCCTGACATGCAAGCCCTTCAGCTCTAATCTTCCTTAACGTCCTCCCACCTGGAAGGGCCCAGCCCCTTCCTCCTGGCAGCTGTGCACCTGCTCATCCGGCCTGGGGTACTTCTGCCCCTCCTCCTCTCCAACCTGCCCTCGGGGTCCAGCTTCAATCCTCTCCCTCTAGGAAGCCTCCTTGACTGCTCTAGCCCCTACAAATTCCCCTCGTCTGAGCCCTGTGCCCTCAATAAAATCCAAGAAGGATCTGAGCCCAGGAGTTTGGAGAGCACCACGGCAGAGATCAACTGAGAGTAGAACAATCCTTCCTTAGAGTAAAGTTCCCATACACACCGCGGTTTGTTTATACAATCGTCCTGACATAATTACTAATAGCACCCTCCCAGGTTCAGGCCCCGTGCTGGAGCAAGGGAGGGGTGAGGCAGAGGGGGCAGGGCCCAGGGTTGGCACTGACAGCCGGGGCTCCAGTGCCCTGGGAGTACTCACAGTGGACACCCAGGCAGGACACAAGGAAGTGGGTGCTTATCATGGAGATGGGCTCCATTCCACAGGGAGGCAGGACTTTGCTGAACCTCACAGATGTCAGGGGGCCTTAAAACAGAAAATGCCAGATAAGCACCCAGAATTGCCCTTATCAAGGGCCACAGGAAAGGCGCCAGGTTTAATCTCAAAACCACACCTGGAATCAACGGTTTAGAGACTTCGAGCAGTGCCTCCCCACCCCAGCACCCTGTGACTGGGGCTTTATGCCTAAGGGTGGGGTGGGGGAGGGGTTTCTTCAAAGATGGAGAATGAACTTTGGGCCCTCAATCAGCCCCTCTGTCACTGCCCAGATCCCAGTTGGTGGTTGGCACCCAGCTACAGGTTTCTCCCATTACCCTACATGTGCACGCGTATGAGTGCACGTGCATCCCCCCCATCCCCACCACCTCACCTCTATAGTGCCCAGTTTCCTTGTCTCTGGGTCTGGGGCTCATTGTCTTCCCTCCTTTCCTCCCTTCCCTCCTGTACCTGTCCCATCCTGAGGGCACTCAGACGACAGGGCCTGCACTTTCAGCTAGGTAATCCCTGAGGGCTTATAGAGGAGGGCCCTTGGTCTAGGGTAGATCTGGCAGATGGTCATGGGGAACCAGAGGGCAGGGACCCAGGGGCAGCAAAGAACACGAGCAAAGTCTTCAGGCAGCGAGGGAAGCAGTGCTATGGTTTGGGGTGGGTGGAGTAAGCAGCTGGAGGAGGGAGCGAGGTGGGGAAGCAGAATGACAGACAGGTTGGCATCACCCCCACCCCCTTAGACCTCCCATCAGATGTATTCCTTTCAGCCCAAAAGCCATCTAGTGGTCTGGTCTCTGGGAGACCCTTCCATGAATGACAAACATCCTATCTGGGCCTCGGTTTACAGAGGGCCTTCAATGATTTCCTAGGGAACAGGACATAGGATAGACTTCCCTGGGGAATGCCGACAGGGCAGTGGGATGAAGCACTATGGTCCCGAGATGGCAGGAAGGGCCAACAGTGAGCTGCTGTGACCACTGAGCCCCTGGCCAGTGTGGGGCTCTGATTCTTCTCTTGTGAGAGCAGGTCTGCTGGAGCGACATCCCTGAGCAGCGTGCAGGCGCTGGCAACATGCCCCCTGACCCATGGGCAGCCTGCCTGCCCCCTCTCCTGCCCACCTGCCAACCCGCCCCTCGTCCTGCATTAAGCAATCTCTATTATCGCAAATGCCTGACATTTTTCCCTGGTAATTACAGCTCCCGCAGCCCCATGAGGATTAGGGCATGATTAGGGAGTAGGGAGGACTCTGGCAGATGGAGAGAAATACCTGCAAATAGACTTGGCACCCTGACTGCCTCCTGCAAGTTCAGGCTCCCGGAAGAGCTCGCTGGCCGGTGAGGATCATCCACGGGACCTTGGAAAGCAAAGGCCATCCGCATCTGTCACTTCCATCATCTCCCGGCCTCCTCCCTCATACTGTCTTTCCTGGGAGCAGCACAGCAGCCCCTCGATGTGCCCCTCATCTCTGCCCCCTGCCCTCCCTGGCCAGGGAGAGAGATCTGAAGTAGAGCTCTGAGTAGACCTTGTCTCCCGGGAACACATCCCAGCCCTGGGCCTGCCATCTGAGACTTCCTACTCTCTGCCTCCTCCCCTAACCCTCTGGGACTCCTGCTTTTGGATCACTCCTGATGAGACCCACAGACCCCACAGACTTTCATGGTCTCTTGGCTCTCATCATCTCATCATGTCACCTGGAATAATCTCTCATTCAGTTCTCCATTTGTCCAAACCGTACCCATTCATCAAGGCCTAGGTAAGATGCTACCACCACTGAAGAGCCTCGCCAACCCCCACCAGAAATATTGAGATCAAACACCTGGCAAGTCCATACACCTCACTGTGCATTGACTCACATTGTCCTCAATACAGCCCTGTGGGATTGGTGATTTTACAGAGGAGGAAACTGAGGCCTGGAGAGCTTAGGTCAGGTGCTCATAGTCACACAGGCAGGCAGCAGTGGAGGCAAGACTGAACTCAGGCCTCTGGTCCTGATGCTGCTTCTTCCCCAGACATTGCTTCGTTATGGGGACCATCTGCGTTTTCACACTGTCACCCCCACAAAATCACAAGCTCTAGAATAGAACTTTCTCAAACTTTAACCTGATTCACCTGATGGTTTTGTTCAAATGTAGGTTCAGATTCAGGGTGGATGGGTGGAACCTGAGATACTGCATTTCTAAGAGGTTCTCAGGTGCTGCTGATGCTGCTGGTCCAAGGACCACACATGGAGTCACAAGGCTAGAGTCTACAGTACAGCAGACAAGTCCTCCTCCTGCCATTGTTGGCTGAGCAGAGCCAACGGCCTGTGGGAGCCTAAGACTGGTCCTTCACATTCACATCCCGGGCCTCCCAGGAGGCTGGGCCCACTGCTCCCCCTTTGCCACTACTGGTGCTCAGGATGGGCTGGGCCCCTGGCCCTAACTTCCCTTCTGCTCAGAAACAAGCAGTGGGATGGGGTCTGGATGCACCCTTGCCTTAGGATATCCTCCAAGACCACCCCCAAGCCTTGGCCCAGCTCTGACCCCCCCCCCCCCAGGAATCCTTATAGTTCTTCTGGAAACTGCTCTTCTTACCTGTGCTGCTGTCATGAAGAACCTACAGAGTCAGTAGTACAGATGGCTCGGCCGACATTAGCCCAGCATGTCGTCTGGCCATGGAAGAAGGTGAAGAAAGCCCTGGGCTGGCCATGGAAGAGGCCAGTAGCTAGTAAGGAATTCTGGAGAGAGGTGTCAATGTGCTGGGATCCCTTTCCCCGGCCATGGTGCGCAGAGGTCTGCATCTCCTCTCCTAAGGCCAAGTGGGGGAGCCTTCAAGGAAGCTGCTTAGGAGCTTGCCACGTGTGCCAGCAGCAGTGTGGGATGGTCCCTGATTCCCACCTGAGGACAGCAGACGCTGCTGTCCCCGACAGGGGGTGGAGCAGACAGGCAGGCTGAGGTGGGAAAGGTCTGATCTCCAGAACCGGGGAGGCAAGGATGTGCGGGTGCTTGGCCTGGTTCAACTGTGCAGAAGACTCAGATCTTCTTAAAAGGGGAAGGAGGAGGCTTCCCCAGAGGCCGGGTGGGAGCAGGTAACGGGAGCTGCCAGGGCGGCAGCTGCAGCATGAATCATCTGCCTCGGGAGAGGTCCCTAGCGGCTGGGGCTGCTCCCCAGAGACCACTCTCACTGCTCGCACAGCCGGAAGGGCAGTGGGATCCACGGGCTTGTTCCTCCCGGGACCAAGAATTCGCACCTCCCTGAGGTCTGCTCGTCCACTAACCTGGCAGGCGGGTGAGCATGGATGGGGTGGCCACACCCAGGATGGTCCCTGGGAAGCCACTCAACTCTAGGACTCTTAATTTTTTCAGGAGGGCGTTAGGTCAAGTCAGTAGACCCTCGCCCTGGAACATCACACATACATACACGAACGCAAAGATTTTAGTATAATTTGGGAGGGAGGCTATGGACTCACTGAAGCCTACCCACACTGTCCCCAGAAAACCACGCACCTTGGGAGGAGAACACCCACATGCAAGGAGGCACAGGCCTCTATTTAATTCTTGCAGACCTGGTGGCAGTCCTGTGGGTCTACTCTAGCTCCCGGATCTGGGAGAGGGTGGTGCTGGGGCTTTGCTCATCTTTCATTCCAGGAAACCCCAGGCACAGGGTGTCAAACCGTGCGTGTACCTGCGTCTTGGCTTCTAGAAAGATGTTTTCATAGTTTGTTGGAACTGGGTCTTTCAAGCAACGCTGGGAATATTTTGATTTCTCCAGCCCTGCCAACGGGACCCTGGTCAGGAGGTTAAGTGAGTTTCATTGAAAAAGACACACTTTTCCTTCCCAGGCTGATAAACAAGCCTGCTGCAGGGAAACTGACTTCCTCCACTGGTGCTCAGCTGGAGCAGCCTGTCTCTGGCCAAGGAAAACAAATGCATAAACATTTTGGGGACATATAGGAAGCATTTCTGCTGGACGCCTGCTGTGAATAGCCACTGGAGTTTACACAGCAAACCCCAGTGGGGCCTCTGCACAGCATGGACAAAGAACGCCCTGCCCTCTCACTTCCCTCCCGGCTCCTCCCTGCTTCTCCCCAAAGACACACAATGAGATACTACAACAACCCGGCCACTACTCGTGCCCAGTCCGTGAGAGTGCAAAACAGGCCTGGAGTTGTCACCACCAACGTCCTGGCACTGTAGAGGGAACACAGTCCCTCAGCTGCTCGCATCCTGAGCACAGGGAGAGCACACAGAGGCTGGGGACCAGCTGCCATCCAGCGTCTACCACTCTCCCGGGCCTCTCCCTGGGCCAGGACAGACATGGGAGGAGCTCACACCCTGGTCCTTCCATGCAAACACCCACTGCTGCAGGGCCCACCCAGAGCTACGGCCTAGGCGCTGGCCAGGTCCAACAGGGGCAAGCACTGACACTGCTGAGTTGCTCCCGGTCAGCATGGCTTACAGAGCCTGGTGCCTTAGACCTGGGGCTGATCAAGAAAAGACAGGCTAGACCAGAAGCCCAGCCAGGGAAACTACTGGACCAGAGGGCATCTCCTGCCTGCAGAGCCCCTCGTTAGGTGATGTCTTAGCTCACAGGTCTCCGGGGCTCTGGGGCCCCTCCACCATCACTGTTCCTACCCCAGCCAAACTGTTGGCCCGGAGCCCCTCCACCAACACTGTTCCTACCCCAGCCGCAAAACACAAAGACCTCATGCATCCTTTGCCACAACAGAATGAATGAATCTCTCTGTACTTGGCATGGGTTTGACTCTTGCTTTATAGAAAGACAATTGCCAGAAATAACGAGCCCAGGGTGCCCGGGCTGGCCATATCACAGGCTTGACGAGGGGACAGGTGGCCCAGCGGGGAACAAGGGAGGGATGCAGACAAAATGCGCAGAGGCCGTCAATCCTTGGCAGTCATGGCTCAGCTGGGAGGGAGCCGTGTAGCAGCACTGTGGACCCTCATCACAGTCCTGGGGGCCCTTCATGGAAGGGGCAGGGCAGTGCTGGATGCTTCTGCAGCACCGCTGGCCCAGACGGGGGTGACACTCTTCTGAGAGACTTGTCCCTGAGGCCTGGGGCTCAGCTGTCACCCCCAGTGATGAGTGGCAGAGCCATAGGCTTACCCAACGGGAAGGGTCACAGGATGGGCTCTGAGCCGTTCCAGTTCACCGACGCCCCCTTCCACCTAGAAGCAGAGTAGCAGATAAAGGGTTAGAGCTGCAGAGACCCATAGAGGAGCCATCTCTTGCCCTCACTCTCCTGAAGTTCCTGTCTTAGGGGCTGTGAGGATTCCTGGGTCTGACCTCCCTACCTTGCCTCTCCACACTCATACACAAGCTTACACACCAGGTCCTTGCAAAACATAAATACACCTAGGACTCCAGAGAGCCACGGAGAAGACAAGAGTGGCAGGTCATTCATTCATTCATGCCCCAAGTGTTTATCGAGCACCTCCTCTGTGCCTGGCACCGCAGGGCCCTCAGCTCATGGGAGTGACCCACACGCATGTGCATCCAGCCGCCCTCCAGGGGTGCCTAATGGTAGTACTTTAAAGCATGTGGGAAAGACCTAAATAGGGAGAATCCTGGAGTGTTCCAGGTGCTGGAGCCTAGAAAAGGAGGGAGAGAGGTGCAGCACATTAGGACCTGAGAGCCCCCTAAGGATTCCGGGCTTTGCATTTTTGTAAATTATGAAGTCTTACGAGACAGAGAGTATCATTTAACTGTAGTCCAGGGCTAGATACAATTTAACACTAGTTCATTTCCAAAATAAAAGTTATTGGAAGTGAGACCATGAAATGATCCAGCACTTAATTTTTTTTAATTTTTATTCATTCATTTATTTTTTGAGTGGTGAGGAGGAGCAGAGGGAGAGAGAGAGAGGGAGAATCCTAAGGCAGGCTCCATGCCCAGGGCTCAATCTCACGACTTCCAAATCATGACCTGAGCCTAAATCAAGAGTCAGACACCTAATGGCCTAACGGACCGAGCCACCCAGGCACCCCTCCCCAACACCTAATTTTCATACGTGGCACACTAGTTTTCTAAAGCAACTCAGAGGAATCACATTTCTAGTGGATGGAATATTCCTGCAAGAGCTGGCACTGGGTATCTAATACATATACATACATCCTGAGATTATAGGGACTAGGAAGCAGATGTTGCATACCTCAACAGCAGGGCGAGGGTGCAGAGTCTGAAACTGGGCTCTAGAAATGCTTTGCACAGAGTGGGGCTTGGGGAAAGAGCAGACTTTTTCAAAACCTGAAGCTTTTCTTCCAACGGAAGTAAAAAAATCTTAACAGCCAACAAAGGAAGGAAAAAAATGGAAGCTTTCCTCGTTTTCGCCATGCATCTGCACTGGAAAGTCCAGTCTGCCAGAGATGGGAACCACGACAGGTGAGTGAGCAGGGTCTCCCTGAGGAAGACTGCTGCACTTTCCCAACTGAATGCTTGGAAGCACTGCGAGGTTTCAGTGCTGGTTGGTTGTAAACCCAACCTTCTCCACCTCCACCAATAGCTCAGGCTCCCTCGGAACTTCTTTGTCCAGGACTCCTTTGTCCTTCCTCAGGCTCCTGCTCTTTGGTCTTACTTCGTGTCCTTGCCTCAGTTGCTGCATCACCGTCTCCAGCTTTTAGGTTGAGAGGGACAGCCTTCCAGAGGCAACGGGACTCACACTTACTCTGCTCTTACCAAATTACTTTCCTCTTGATTGCAGGCAACTCCTTGGTGTCTGTAAAGACTGTATGTTCCTCTGTTGAATATTTTGCACACCTTATACCAGCCCATTCCTTTTCAGATGAACAAAAGGATTTCTTGTCATTCGGAGAAAAATAATCTTCGTGGTAATTGTGTGTCCTGCTCCCCCTGGAAAGGTTTGGTTGTGGGAGATATTTGCGTGTCGTCTGTTTTGGAACAATATTACTATTCCCTGGTTCTCCTAGCTCCACCCAGCTAGGGTGTGAGGATCGACGGGATGTAAGAATGTGGTGTCTAGACACAAGACGCAGCCCTGTCCCGTGCTGTACACACCAGTCGATGTCCCAAGACATTTTTATCCAGTCTATATATGAACGCTGAATTGCATCTTTTCATTAAAAAGCTCAGCATAAAAAAATAAAATAAAAAAATAAAAAGCTCAGCATAAAAGGCTGAAATGGGTGGATGATGGAAGAAAATCTGCCAAGCCATGACTGTTACACTGTTTTAGGAAACTAGTCCTTCCAAACTAGCTCTGCGTACTCTTCAGTGTCATGAATAAAGTCCTGTGATCGGGAATCCCTGGGTGGTGCAGCGGTTTGGCGCCTGCCTTTGGCCCAGGGCGTGATCCTGGAGACCCAGGATCGAATCCCACGTCGGGCTCCCGGTGCATGGAGCCTGCTTCTCCCTCTGCCTGTGTCTCTGCCTCTCTGCCTCTCTCTCTCTCTCTCTCTCTCTCATAAATAAATAAAAAAATTAAAAATAAATAAAAATAAAAAATAAAGTCCTGTGATGCCAAGAGAGTCCACTTGGACTTTTTCAAGGGGTTGTATGGCTTTTTGACAGCCAACCCTTTCTTCCTGTGTGAAAGGCTGGAAGATACCTTTTACACCTGAATCATTTGACCCCTGGGATCCTTCTGGTCACAGATGCTTAGAAGCAGGTCTGGATATGCAAAAAAGTTTGCATACATTCCTCAGTCTTTTCTCCAGATTAACTGGTGGAAGAACTATCTTAGCAAGACACATTCCAAACATAACCTGTGATGAGACACATAACCCTCTGCTCATCCACTGACCCTGCCTCTCCTTCATTTTCAACCATGTCATGTGAATCAAAATGGTTAGCACCACTTGTTTCCCTGGCTGGGTGGGGCGAGGAGGGTGATTAGGTGATTCTGTGGTGTATGGGAGCTTTTGACTATTTCCTGAACTGCTGTGTGTCAGCGCTGGGGCAGATCCAGAGGGATCCATTAGGTGCTCTGGGGCTGAGCCACTTTGATAGACTCCATCAGCGTCAAAGCATCTGTCACTGCTTGAAGAAGAGGCACTGGCACTGTATCTGGAGACTACTTGACATGGCTGGGGGAAGTCAGACCACTCCTCAGTGGTCAAGTACCTGCTGCCTGCGCTGTTTGGTGCTGGACCTGATGATGTCACCGGGTAGCCCCTACGGGTCCAGTCAGTAGGGAAGATGGATGCAGCTCTCACTTGCATACTGAGTAGGGTCTGTGGGGTAAGACAGGCTGGGAGGGCACTGTGCTGATCACAGGTTCCAAGGGACCAGGATGACCTATTGCACCAAGTGGGTTAATAGGAGTTTAGCAGTACACAGCAATGTGACCCGGGGCTTAACTGGTACTACCATATAACTTGAGATTTTCAACTTTGCTTCTCTGCTCATCATCTTTGCAATTTTGAAGCATGTCACTAAAAAGCTTTAATTGTCTATTAAGATTTATAGGTAAGCATCAGCCTCTGTAAGTTTCTTATCAAAGTCTTAGACACTAGGGATATATCCTGAATCCAGACCTCCCAGAAAGCAATAGAAAGGAGGCATGGAGGGGAGCAACATTCTGCCCATAGCGTAGCTCCAGGCAGGAATCGGGGGCCCAGATTGTGAAGGGAAGAACACTACTGCCCAGACACAAGTGGTTTCTTGCCCCAGTTGTGGCAAGAATGGGCATGGGGCGGGGGGGGGGGGCGAGGAGCGGTGGAGTCGGAAGTACACCAGACCTCTTGTATCACTGTAAGATCTACACTTAGCCTGGCCCCCCAAACCCTTCCCTCATTCCTCTCCATCCCTCCCAGACTTCACCCTCCCCACTCTGATAGGCACCAAGACGTTGCTGCTAGGAGCTCCCAATCTTCAAACATCTCAGATCCTGGCAACACAGGGTTTGGCTTCCGTGCAGGGGTGAGTCATATTTGTCTACTACTAGACAGCTACGCCATACCAACCATCACGGAGTCTTACGAAACTAAACATAACCCCCTGCCAACTGTGGGAGGGTTATGCTTAGTTTTGAGGCTTTTTAGGGGTAACTAAAGCACCTCATCCCAGCCAACAGGTGCAAGGTGAAGAGAATATTAGAAGCACCAGAGAGAAGCAGTTTACAATTGATAGAAGACCAAAGCAGAGATGTTTTTAAAATGGCAAGGGCTGAGACTCAAGGCTGCTGTGTTTGTGTGGGGATGGATGGTTCCCTGGTGGGAAAGCCCACGGCCAATTACAAGGACAGTAAACAGAGCTCTGGGTATGCAATTAGGGGCTGGCAGAGGGAGGGGAGGGATGAAAGGAGACCCACAGACAGTGCAGCAGCAGAATTAAAGCTCACTCATCCAGGAAGCTGAGCATGAGAGTTTCCAGCAGGCGTTCTCAACCCCGGACCACTACACTGTGGGCTAGGTTGGGGGCTGTCTTGTGCACCGTGGGATATTTGGCACCCTCCTCCTCAGCCACGATACCCCCAAAGGTCTCCCAACATTGCCAAGTATTCCCCGGGGCACAAAATCACCTGGTTGAACACCCCTGGTTTAGAGGTCGAGCTCAGGGAAGATGCTTTGGTGGCTGGGGCTCAGGGAGGCTGGGCACCACAGAGAGGGCCCACCTCAGGGCCATGAAGGAGGCCCTTCCCTCCCCAGCGCCGCAAACCACAGCCGAGCAGCAGTAACCTGCCTCCACAGACTTCCAGCACTGATGAACCTAGCCTACCTAGTGGGGGGAGAAAATGCCTAGTGGAGCCCGTATCAGCAAGGAGAAGAGCACAGGCCTGGTTTTAAGGCCCCAGAGCCAACAAGTAGGAATACACCACACAACTCCTCTTATCCACTATGAATTTCCAGACAAGTATCCAGTGCGCCAGCTTCCCTTCCTCAGCTCCAGCCCTGGGAGCCAGAGCACTCTGGAGTGAGCCCCAGAGGCTGTCCCTCCCCTGCGGGCCTTGGCCTGTGCTGTGCCCTCACTGGGAACAACAGAACAACCCTCCCTCATCCCCACCCCCAGTTTTTCTGGATCAGATCCAGAGTGTGCTCTGACCTCCAAGCAGCCTGGGGATCCTTTCTCAGCACCGTATCACCGTGGGGGTCTCCCTCCTCCACTAGACTGTGAGCCCCTCAAGGACAGAGCTGGTGTCACTCGCCTCTGTCCCCTCTGAAGACCTCTGAGCACCAAAACATGGGCTCCCTGGGGTGCTGCTAGATAAGCACACCGCTCCACAGCAGCTGCTCCTCCCGGAGCCCCAGCGGCCTGGAGGGGAAGCCCATCGTCGTTCACATGGCACTCCCTTGCCTGTGACCCAGGCAGTCACAAAGCCCTGCCCTCGGCCCTTGCCCTCTCCTGTCCCTTGCTCTCTGCCTCCTCCTGATTGTTCCTCCCCACCCCGAGCCCCACGTGAGCCCCTGTGATCTTCACAGGAAAGGGAATGCTCCTGCCTCTCTTTTTTCAACCTCCCACCAGCTCAGAGAAGGGATCTTTCTACCTAATCAACAGATGAGGAAACAGGTTTGCAGCAGGACCAAGGCTTCTGGAGGTCATACAACGTGACAGCAGCAGAGCCAGGACTCCACAAAGATTTCCAGATTCCTGATCTGTATACTTCCCTCGCATCATGGTGTTGAGTGTTCTGGGAACCCAATGGGCAAGTGTGTGTGGCGGTTGCAAGGCAGGGAATCAGGAGAGGGCAGCTGGGGCCATGGGAGGACCAAGGGAACCCTCCTTTGGTGGGTGAGAGGCACTGTGAAGAGATACCTGGGCAAGAAGGGTGTCAGCACAGGCCCCCCCACGGGCGGACATACAGCCTAGTGACCTGCGCACTCAGCTCCATACCCTGGAAGGCACCGTTCCCAGCTGAAATTATATTTTCAATTTCTTCTCTGAGTCTCCAAACAGAAACATCTGTGGCCTAGCCCCAGGCCCTGGTTATGAGTTCTTTCCTCTTTCCTCTGGACCACTGACAACTGTTTCATTTTCTCCCACTCTGGCTAGGCTGGAAGCTCGAGAGGTCACTGTGTGTCTTGTTTGTAAATGACCATAAATGAGTCTGTTTTTGCTGAGATGGTTAGAGAGCAGCGGGAACCGGGGGGTGGGGTGGGGGACAGACCCCACATTCCTGACACAAGTGTAGGTAATGGGAGACTTGCTGAGGCCCAGACGTGAGTCACACTTGAGAGCAGGGGCGGCACGGGACCTGAGATCGTTTGACTTAGGATGCTCTTCCCCAAAGGCAAAACCAACAATCTGGTCTTGTGTAATGTCACTGTGACAACAAAGCCAGGTGGCGGGAAATCACACAGCCCGCTGGGTGACCTTCCACTGGGCTGGGACAGCGCAGGTCTATGCTCCAGGACCTGTGCTGTGTGTGGCTCAAGGTATGGCCTGGGGCACAGAGTGACCTCTATCTGTGAAAGGGAGGGTCCTATCAGGTAGCGTCTAAGGGCCTTCCCGTGGATCTCAGCAGGCTGCCAGACAGCCAGGTGTGTGGTGTGCTCCATACTGGGTCAGGGTGAGCATCAGAGGTCCTTAGGAGGTAACAGAGCTAGGTTTAAGGGTAGGCAGCACATCTCTCCCTGGATTAGGACAGAGTTGATCATGAACTTGACTTCTATTCAATTGTGAACTCTCTTGAGAGCAAGAACTCAGTCTTATCTGGCTGTTTCTTCCAGCCCAGGGGTTCCATGAGGTTGAAGTGATGGGCCCACCGGTCTGGTCCAGCCCGTGGTTATGACCTGAGATGTGGCCTGAGTTCAGGTCATGGTACTACATGCACCCCTTATTCATGTCAGGGTGGGGACCTCCTACGGGCAGTGGGGCTCATCCCCAAGACATACGGCCTTTTCTCCCCAGGGTCTTCACTGACCTTGAAGGCTACTTTCCCAAGTTTCTCCCTTTGAGCTGTTCGAGAATCTGGGATGAAAACAAAACGCAAAGCCTTTGTAATCCAACCCCTCAGAATAGGATTCCAGGAGACTGGGCCTGCTGTTTCCCATTACAGTGGTATGTTATCTGATGGGTACTGGCGGGAGAGGGGGGAAGCAGCATTCCCACTAGTCAGTCACCCACTCAGCTTTTCTGAGAATAATTCTGGGAAAAATCTCACCGCATTCACTGCCCAGGTGGACCCACCATGGTGGGGCAGGTGGCAGAGGCAATAGAAGAGGCAGGCAGCTGGTTTCAGGAAACTCCTAGCTGAGGATGGATACCATACCTAGGGGAGGGAGGGAAATGGGGTGGGGCAGCCCACAGACCCAAGAAGGAAGGGCCCCTGGCCCGGTGTACTATAGCAGGCCAGAGGCTAGAGGCTCAGCACTTCACCTGACATCTGACTCACAAGGCAGCCAGAGCAGGCCGGAGGGGTAGCCATTGCCCTCACCAGGCACCACAAGTTCAGAGCATGGTGCTGGGAACTCCCCAGATATGCGAATTTTCAGGCCCCACCTAGATCTCCTGAACCAGAACCCCTGGGGGTAGGATCCATCCGTGTGTGTTTTACCACAGCCTCCAGGGATGCTTGCTAAAGCTTGAGGACCACACTCTTCCCAAGGGCTACAGATGGATGGATACCATAGAGGGATACACGTGTCAGAGTATCGATCCCCACACCCAGCAGGGGGCTGGTGGAGTCTGGGCCAACAGAGGCCCCAGGCCAGTCGTCCCTCACCCTGTGTGCTGTGCAAATGTGATTTTCTATCTGTAACACAGGGCTGGGAAGCACGGCTAGAGCCTTGCCTGACCCCCACGGTGAGCAGGAACAGAGAAGGGCAGGGCAGGGACTCAGCGTGGACCACACGGCCCAGACCGTCGGCTCGCTCCTGGCTGTAGGCAGTGACCCCAGTTTCCCCCATCACGTCACGACACACAGCCACAGCTGGGAAGGGCGGGGCCCTGAGAGAAGGGGACAGAAGAGGAAGAGGCGCTCGGGGCCCAAGCTCACACTCAGATGACTCCGGACTGAGCTCCCTGACAGACCAGAGCCCTAAGTCATTGTCAAGCATTGGACAGTTAGGGCTGAGCCCAGAAAGTCCAACTCACTGGGTGAGTCCTACAGTGGAACCGTCCTTGGGCAAAGAGGAGTTATTCCAGTTGGGGCCGTTGGAGAAGCGCTGGGTGGCGGTCTCCTCAGATGGAGGCCTCCAGGGTCGGGGAGGTGGGTGGAGCCTGTGCCCAGGGTGTGGTCCACAGCCCCGCTTGGCAGGCCCACCTGCAGGAAGGATGCCCTGTGGCCTCCCACCCTGGCCTGCGGAGGGTGCCAAGGCCAGTGTCACCTCCTTTTTCCAATGCTGCCCTTCTCTCATCACCTGGAATGAGTGGCCCTTTGTACATGAAAGGAAAGCGACCTGCATGGGCCTTTAATCCTCCCGACGAAAGAAAAGCCAGCACATGACCCCACAAGAATGCTTTGTCCCTGGCTTGGTGGGCGGGTAGGCGGGCAGATGAACAGATGGGCGATGGGGCATAATGAGGATGTCCCAACGTCTCCTGCATCCCCACCTGGTGTCACCACTGTGACCGTGGCTCCAGTCAAGGGCTCGCTAGCCTACGGGTGGGCAGCACCCCGAGGCTGCAGGCGAACCCCCGATGGTCAGAGCCCCAGGGCCCAGCATCGTCCTTGTCCTCCACCCCAAGCCGATCTCTTCAGAGTCGGGGCCACAAGGTTCTGCCTAAGGTCACGAGGCCTGGGCGGCTCACACAGGACCAATGAGAGCTGTTTACAAAGCACCAGCAGTATACCCAGAGCTCTTCAGAACCCTGGGCTTGGCTCTCCCAGCTGACAGTGTGACAGACAGATAGGTGAAGTCTAACAGCTCATGGCCAGAAAGCAGAAAGGACCGGAAGTCTAGAAGCCTTACTTACCACATGGGAGTCATGGGAGTCATAGTGCTTCCCCAGGAGGAGGCACTGGGATGCACACCTGCTCCTGCCACTCTGGTTCCTAGAGGCTCCTGAGGCCTCCAAGTCATAACCCAAAGGCTCTGTGAAGGGCCTGCCTGAGGCTGGTGGGGAGAGGGGCCAGAGCTACAACCCCAGAGCCCTCCAGAGTACTGTTCCCAGCCCTGGGACCTGGTCAGTGGGCTCCTGAGTGAGGTGACCCCAACTCACCCCAAGCCTGAGCTGGATTAGAGGAGTCAAGGGCCCCATCCCTGTGTCTGCTCGGGGTTCAGAGGGCCCAATCCACACCACAAGATGACTGGGGCCTCTCCCCCCTGATGCAGATGCCATCTCAGAGCTATGCCCTGGGGGCCATAGGCCCTCTCACCTCCCTGTCCTGTTCAGACACTGCCCCCTGCCCCTCCCCCACCTGTACCCCTACCTGTCCTTCCTGACTGGGCCTCACTGCCATGAGCAAGGAGGGACCCCAAGAGGCACCTACTCACACCACCATGCGTATCATAGGGCAATCTCAGGAGCTGTCTGAAGACACGTTGCCTCACAGATCACATGCCTCTCCACTTAGGCCACAGAGACCACAGAATGCTACATACAAACAGGCCCGAGCCCCACGTCTTTCCCTTCTGCAGAGGTCCTGCCTCACTATGGACTGGTAGTTGGGGCAATCCAGAAACACATCCTCCTCCCCGCAGGTCTGGCGACTTCCAACCACCACACCTCCCAGCCACTCAGGTGAGCTTCCCGAGCCAGAGACCTGACTCACCTGGTTCTGATGCAGAGCTCAAGGGGCGGGATGAGGTCATTGTCTTTGTCCTCAGGGACAGTCTGGGTGGTGTCTGTGGGCCAGGAGAGAGAGGCATCAGCCCGGGGCCTGAGCCTGCTTTAAGGTCGGCACCCATGACCCAGCTCCCAGCACCTGCCCGACTTATCATGGCTGGACCCATCCTTGCTCCTGCCCATTGGTTCTCTCCTGGACCATGGCACTCCTCATGGCCTCCCGCCTCCACTCTACTCTCCTGCTCCCCGTCAGCCACTAGAGTAGTTCTTTCTAAAAACACATCTGATCCCACCACTTTCTTGCTCCAAAACCTTCCATGGCTCCTCAGTGCCTACCCAAGAAAACCCAAACTTGTCAGCATGGTATTCCATACTCTGCTACCACAGAGTAGGTCTCAACTTCTCCTTACACCTGTAAGGCCATCAGTTTCTCAAGGCCCGGCTCTGGCTCCTCCTGTAGGAGAAGCACAACACACAGTCTCTGATCCCCCCAGTCCAGACACAAGTCTGCGGGTCTGAGCTCTTCTGTGACAGCCCAGAGGATGCGTGAGGGCCGAGAACACAGGCCAGGGGGGGCAGCGCACCAACGGTCAGCCGGATCTGCTCCTGCTGGTTGGCCAGACCATCGTAGTAGTACAGGTCGAAGAGCCTCTCGGCCCTCCAGTCTCGCAGGAGCTCGAGCTGCAGGCTGAAGAGGACGCTGAAGTGGCTCTCACTGCACACCACCCAGATGGGGAACCTCGGCGTCTTCAGGAAGCAGCCCACCTGGGAGAGGGAAAGGGAGAGGGAGCAGATACAGAGGCCTGTGTTAGCCCCAGGGAAAGGGCCCGAGCATCCTCCATCTAACCCAGGGTTGGGCTGGGGTCTCTCTGGGTCTCTCAGAGAGACCTGCTGGGGATCACAGCCCTTGAGCCACGCTGAGAGTCTCTTGCGCTGCTTGCAGACACGGACTCATCTCCCAGAGCTATCCCCACCACTCTCAAGGCCTTTCCCTCACACACGGTAATTGCCTTAAGGTGCCCCAGCCTGAAACCCGGGAGTCCCCACTGCTTCCTCTCCCACACCTAGCTGGCTCACAGTGCTGCCCATCCTGCCTCCAGAAGCTCCCCTGCAGCCAGCCGCTCCTCCCCAAACAATGACCTCCTGATTGTTCCACACCCCCACCCCGCAGCTGCACCAGCCTCTCACCAGCCCTCAAACACGCCAGCACGGCAGGCCCCTGTGCCTGTGCATCCACCGTCCACCACCTAGAGCACTGGGTGGAGGAGACACCTCTCCTCCCCTTCCAGGTCCTGCATCACCCAAATGACCCAAACAGGGAGCACAAATCACCTCCCTCTGGCTCTCGGGTGGGGGGTTACTAGGAAGTAGGTACTAGGAAGCAGGTACTAGGTACCAGGTACCCACCTGCAGTGCATTACTGCCTCACCCTGCTGCGCCAGCCTGCCCCCTGCATGCTGGACTATGCCCTTAGCACTGAACGCTGGGGTTATAAGTCAACATAAGCAAATGTTTGACAAATGCAGGTCCTCATGCATGACATGGAACTCGAACTAGATAGGACTTTACCTTGAAGAGAGGTGGGCTTGGAGCCATGGGGAAAAGGAAGAGAGGGCCTCTGGGTGAGCAGTCTTGGGGGGGGGGGGTTCCAGGAAAGAATGTCCAGAGACATCCAGGGACTAGCAGGGTATTAGGGAAAGAGCACAGGGGACGGGGAGGATAAGAAGCTGGGACTTTCTGATGACTCTCTTAGAAAGCTCCTCAAGGAGGACTTCTTCCATGGCAGAGGAGTGTTTGTGGAAGGCAGATGGCATGGAGCATGCCCTATGACCCTCAGTGCTGCTGCTGTTCAGGGTAGAGGAGTGAAAGGAACCCTCTGCAAAGTCCAGCTCAGGGGCCTGGCTGGCTCTGCCCCTTGGGCCAGCCATCCCTCTATGTGCTCTCTCCCTGTCACCTGTGCCTCCCTGGGGCGGCACCTCTCCCAACCCTAGGCCCTGGTTTAGTCAGCTCTGTGCATGCCATCGGCCAGGCTGATTCTGGCCTAATCCCCCCCAGCCCCAGGGAGATGTTTGCATGCTCAGGTATTTACAGCCACAGCCTGCGGATTAAGGAAAGAATGGGAATTATTTTTCCAGTGGGGAGAAGGGCATACTTTCTCTGGCCTGTCACAGAAGAGTGGCCGAGCAGTCTTCCTGGGGCCCCTTGGAGCCCTCCTGGGAGCAGACTCTGGGCTGGGGTGTCTCAGACAGGGGGGCTGTGCTCAGAAGGCCCTGAACCAGGTCCCTGGTAAAAGACTTGCCCATAAACAGCTGCCTCCTCCAGAGGGCCAAGCATCCTGCCCCACCCCCACCTGGCCAGTAGGGCCCTCACCCCAGCCCCTTGTGACATTAAAACGTGACTACAGAGCTCTTTTGGTGGATGTGGGGGAATTAGATGCCTTAGAGACGGGGCTGGACGTGCCTAAACCCTATTGCAAACTTGGCTCCTGTTCCAGGCTCAAAAGAGGCTTTTCTGGCGAGGGCCTCACCTCGAACAGTGAGCCTTCTCGGGGACCCAGGGCTCGTTTGCTGCAAGGAAAAGAGCTGTGCAACCTGCCAGGGGGCAGGCGTCTACATAATCAGCCACCCTGAATTTTCCAGCAGAGGGACAAAAGGGCAGCTTGCCATTTATTTATTCAATGGTCAAAAGATTACAGGCAAAAAAAGCTGCCCAGAGACTTTATAAATGAGTTTTCTCATTCAGGAGCCCCCTCCAAGTGGGTGACATTTTCCAAAGATGAAATTCGCTTCCTCTGGGTTTGGAGGTAGCTGGCCGAAGGCCCTGGGGCGAGGAGGGAAGGTGGGGGGCACACTTCCTTCGGTACAGTCTCAGGCTTGCTCCTGGCAGAGGTGCATACAGCACTATTAGGAATCACGTGTAAAGGGGGATTCTTTTTTTTTTTTTTAAGATTTTATTTATTCATTCATGAAAGACACACACACACACACACACACACACACACACACACACACACAGAGGCCGAGGCACAGGCAGAGGGAGAAGCAGGCTCCATGCAGGGAGCCTGACGTGGGACTCGATCCCCAGACTCCAGGATCACACCCTGAGCCAAAGGCAGATGCTCAACCTCTGAGCCACCCAGGCATCCCAGTGGGGGATTCTTAAATCTCTTTGCAGAGGAGAGGTGAGGTGAGTGACGGCCCCACACCCAGCTGTGGACCGACAGCTTAGAGGCCCTAATTTGAAAAAAAAACAATGTTTGGTTGCTGGCAGTCACCACCTGTCATCTCCAAGGGTAACTGTCAGTCATGACTTATGCTTCGGTCCCAGGCACTGTGCTCGACCATGGGGGTACAGCAAAGGAGGAAACAAGGCCAGTCTTGTCCTCAGGGGGGCTCACCAGATTCATGGGGATGACAGAGAGTAAGCAAATAGTCATACAGAGACATTTGCACTGCACTGCCCTGAATCTACGGTGCAAGCAAAGTCACCTTATTGTTTGTTTCACTAAGAAAGAAAGCTGGCCATCAAAGTCTGACATGCCCTCAACTGCAAGAGTGCCTCCAAATCTCAGAAACACTCAAAAGTGTGCAAAGTTTGCATCTCAAAAGCAATGAAATGGGACACTGGAATGAGGAGGCGGCCTAGGAAGGAAAGCATGATGGTTCCATGATGGAGAAGGACAAAGTGGCAGGGGACCATGAGAGTGGACCCCTCTTTAGATGACTGATTAGGTCAGGAGAGGCTTCCCTTGAGAAGTGACAGTTAAGTCAAAAGGTGAAGGGATGAAACAGCAGGGACAGCGCTCGTGGGGCCTTGCAGATTGTGCTAAATTCAGGGTTTCGGTCTCTGCATTAGTTAGCTGGGGCCGCCATGACAAAGTCCCACAGACCCGGTGGCTCAAACAACAGAAATTTGTTTCCTCACAGTCCCGGAGGCTGGAAGTTCCAGATCCAGGGGTGGGCAGGACTGGTTTCTCCTGAGGCCTCTCTGCTTGGCTTGCAGATGACCGTCTCCACTGTGTGTGCCTGTGTCCTAATCCCCTCCTCTTGTAAGGACACTAGTCAACTGGATTAAGGGTCATGCAGATGACCTCATTTTAACATAATCACTTCTTCAAGGCCCTGCGTCCAAATACAGTCACATTCTGAGGTACTGGGTGTTGGCGCTTCAATGTGTGAATCTGTGAGGGATACCATTCAGCCCCCAGTGGCCTCAGAGGTTGGCAAAACCACCAACAGGAGGGAAGCAAACAATGATGTGATTCAGTCTACTCTTTTAAAGACCACACTGGCTTCAGTGAAGGACCAGAAGGGGGTGGAGACAGAGGCCAGAGGCATCACAGGTGTCCAGACCAGCACCTGGTGGCTTGGACCGTGGCAGAAATGGACAGACTGGAGAAAGGACTCCGGGTAGGACCCACATGACCTCCTGGTGGTTCAGGCATGCTCCTGGGTTTGAAAAAGTTGGTGCTATTTGCAGAGCAGGGGGGAAACGGGAGGAGGACGCTGCTGGCAGAGCTCTTCCTGCCAGGTTTAGTCTCTGCTCAGGTCCCTTCACGGGGACAGCAAGGAACGTGCCCTGCAGGGCATGGGAGAAGGGCTGCAGTTAAACACCTGGTCCCACGCTGTCCTTTCCTGGACTGCCAGTCCCCGCCTCGCCCCCCACCACAATCACCTTGAGCCAGTGGGGGTTGGCCTTCCAATTGCAGCCTCCTATGTGAGCTCTGCAGTGGCAAGAGTGAGGTGCAATTCAGGTGGGCAAGACCGGCCCCCGGGGGTCATGGAGAGCCAGCGGAGGTCCAGGACAGACAGCCAGGCTGGGGCGGGAGGCTGGCTAGTTCAGCAGGAGTGCGTTTCTTGGCCCAGAGCCTCCTCTGCTTCCCCAGCAGGCACATCCGGAGTGCGGGTCATCTCATACGCTCACTGATGGGCAGGCCCTCCCTTACCCCCAGCGCACACATACTCAGCGAGGGCCCCAGAATCAGGCTCCCAGCTAGAGCCTGTAGTGAGAAGCCCCGGATAGGTTGAACAGCAGGCAGGCCCACTTCGGCCTTCTGTGAGAGAAAGTCTAAGCCTTACAAGAATAGCCCCACTGTGGATGCCAATCCCCCGAGCTGTCCCAAGTACCAGATCTTCCCCAAGGCCACACTGGTGCTGCCCAGCGGAGGGGGACCAGGTCTGAGCGTGGATGCCAAACCTCCTGGATTCCTGCCACACCCAACATGGCCAACCATGTAGAACCAGAGGAATTCAGTGACAGAAGGGATGGCAGGTGGTGGCAACGGAGAGGACAGGCTTTGTCTACGCTGCCAGACCTCCACCTTCTCCTTCAGAGGCCCAGTCCTCAGTGAGCTCTGGGGAAGAGGGTCGGCCTGAGGGTCCTTCCTTAGAGAGCTTGCAGCCCCAAGGCAGAGGAGCAAACATCCTCTTGCTGCAGAAAGATACAAGCCACAGTCTTCGGTCAAGCATATAACAGCAAAGGGGGGTCTGTGTGGAGTCAAGAATTTGGAAACTTGTAGGGCCTGAACTTCTTCAATCAGCATTTTATTCCAAGGGAAGGACGACCCCCAACTGATGTTCCCATCAATTACCCTCCACAGACCGAAGGAAAATAGTTTACTTTTTGACCAACGCCCTCAACACAAGAATGAAACCAGGGCTCATGGTAAGCCTGGGGATTCCACGAGCCCGGCCAAGGTTACCTCTCTCAGCCCATGGAATTTCGGGCTGAATGTTTTCAGAGCCCACCCAGGGCTGGATGCTCAGGGGCCCCGGTGCTTCTCCTGGGCCACGTGGCCACATTCCTGGGCTCCCTCCTGACACCAGTAAATCAGGGAGGGAACCACTATCGTTCTTTTCTCCCCAAGGCTGTGGAGACCATGAGTCAGCTTTCTGTCCTTGGGGGTAGGATCTGGGGACACCGGTGCACCACACGTTCCGTTAGCAACAGGACAGCACACCTGAACTTGTGACATGAGAGAAGGGCACCATGAACCAACCAGAAAACAATGTCTTCTCTGAAGATACAAAAACCGAGACTCACAGAAGGTCTAGCAGCAAGCTAGGACAGGGGCCCAGTGCCAACCTCGTAGAGACATGCAGCCACCCTACCCTGCCCAGCTTCACAGAGGCCTAGCCCTTTCCAAGACCCTGGCTGCAGGGACAGAGGAGAGAAAGGGACCCGTACACCAGCAAACAGACTGAGTGGCCTGTTAGGGGTTGAACTGGGCCCTCAAAAAGATATGTGGAGATCCTAGCCCCCAGAATGTGACCTTACTTGGAATTAGAGTTGTTGTAGGTGTAACTAGTTAAGAGGAGGTTAGTGGAGGAGAGCAAGCCCTTAGCTCCACGTGACCGATGTCCTTATAAGGAAAGGAGAAGGCACATGGGGAGAAGATGGCTGTGGGATGACAGATGGGAGAGATTGGACTGGTGGACCCACCAGCCAAAGAATGATGCCAAGGATTGCCAGAGAACACCAGCAGTTGGAAGGGATGAGAGTGGATTCTCCCAATGGGTTTCAGTGGGGACACAGACTTGCTGACATCTTGATTTTAGACTTCAGCTATGCGAACTTCTGCTCCAGGACAAATCTCTATCGTTTTAAGCACCCAGTTTGTGGTGCTTTATTGTGGCGGACCTAGGAAGCTCTGACAAGGCCTGAAACTTTCGATCCCATCCCTAGAGAAGACCCCATTCCCCTGCCTCCAGCCAGCACACACATACACCCTGCCTCTGCTCGGACCCCCAGTCACACTGTAAATCCCTAGGAGTCCCTTTGAAACCACCTTTCCCAGAACACGGTTTGGGCTGGCTTTGGGCACGAATTACATGCCAGTACTCAACGGCAGTGAGGTTAGACTTCTTCCCAAACCTTCTGTGATTAGGAATGGACCAAATTCTGCCCGGCTCTGGGAACCTGAGTTGAACTTCCTTTCCCCCGCCTTCCTTCTCACTGTCCCAGGGAGCGGCGCCCCTCCATCTCCGGAGACTTGAGCTCCCGGTACCTGGCACACATTGTAGTGCTCAAAGAGAGATAAGAATCCAATGTCGCTGCGTGCAGCAATGCCTTTGAGTAGCGTGATGTTCCCGTTCCCAGAATCCAGCTCAACCACGTCGTTGAAAACATTGGACACAGCTTTCCCGGTCAGGAGCAGATTGACAAGTTCCTGTAGATGAAAGAAAGGGGAAAGGCTTGTTCAGGGTTGATCGGGAACAAGAAAAAAAAAAAAAGGTGAAAAAGGAAGGAAAGCAAGGAGGGAGAGAGACCAAAATCACAGGGGGCTGGGCCTTCGGGTTCCCACCAGCCCGCAGGGAAAGCTGCCAGCGGTTCCGAGCCAAGCGACCCTCGGAACTCATCGTGATCTTTACTTCATGGGCGTTCACTGGATGACAGGTGTGCACAGGCCCCTGTCCCGAGCCCTGGGTGGCAGCAGGAAAGTGGGGGTGTCCTGCTGGAGGGAAAGAATGGCTCCCAATCTCGGGCATCCGGGTCTAGGGCAGGGATCAGGTGCATCCCTGTGCGGCTGAAACACAATGTAGGATGTGACTGGGACTATAAAAAATGTGTGCTCGGAGCACTCCAGGGCCAGGCGGGCACGGGACCACATGGCTGAGTCAGAGCCACTTTGTAGAGAAGCCACATTTGGGTGGGTCTTGAAGGATGGCAATTTTTTTCATAAACTTTTGTATTTTGAAATAATTTTAGACTCAGAAGAATTTGTAAAAATAGTACCGAGTTCCTGTGCACCCTTCACCCAGCTTCCCCCAACGATAACATCTTACACAACCAACACTGGTTATCAACACCAGGAAGCAGACAATGGGGCAAACACCAAGAATGCAACTCTAGGCCTTATTTGGATTTCATAGGCGATGCGGGATCTTTGAGCAGGGAGGGAGAGTGGAAGCCTGCAGAGGCAGACAGGTGGAGGTGGCGGGGAGCCCTGGTCTGGGTTCTAGATCTGCCCCTGCCCTCATTGGCCGAGCGCCATCACGCACTCGTTGGCCATGTGACTTGTGCTGCACAGCCAAGAGGCCAACAAACCCGCTGACCCCGGAACCGGGAGACCAGTGACCTGTGGAGCCCTGTTCCTCTGGCGGTCTCCTTCAGCCAGAGCCTTCTGCATCAAGGTGGCAGGAGAGGATTTACCAAGCTACACAGCTAGTTAGTAACAGAGCTGGACTTCCGCCCACATTTTCAGGCTCCCTGCCTGGTGTCCTTCCCTCACCCCTCATGTGTTACCCTCAGGGTAGCCCCTGGCCACGGAAGGTCCCAGATGAACGGTGGTCACTACGAGCCTGCCACACAGCTGAGGAAGGATCTGAGTGAGCCCAGCCTTGGCACTTGGGCAGGCGGGACCCTCTGTCGGGCCCGCCCTGTCAGGGCTGGTGTGCGTGGAAGGCCAGCAGGCAGCAGTCGCCCCCACGGTACGTGGGAATAGCCATGATAGCCCTTTCCCAGCATAAACTCTGGAGGGAAGAGTTCACAGAAGTGTTTTCCCCTGAATTGTAACAGCCATGCCCCAGTTAATAAATCCCTCCGTCAACACCAAGACCCCTGCCCCGGTGACAGTAAAAGAGGCCCCCTCTGATGGCCACGGAGGGAACCCCATTGGAGGGAGATAGCGAAAGGGCCCCATTGTGTCCTTACAGAGGAAATGAGAAAGAATTTGGAGGAAATGTCTGCTCTGAGATACTGCACCTCAGGGGCAGTGGCCCCGCTAAGAAAGGCGCGGCGTTTTTCAGATGGGTTCGAGTTTTCCCATGTGGTTCTCAGGGGAAGAAAAAGGTTCTTGCTCCCCATCTGTCTCAAACCCTCCTCAGCACAAGGAAGCCCACTTGAAATGGGGAAGGCAGGGGAAATAGGCTGCTCCCTGCCCCAAGACTCAAAATCACACCGTGGCAGAGCACACTGGTCATGGAGACCCTTGCTATCCAAAGTGTGGTCCATGGACCAGCAGCATCCCCTCGGGAAGCCTGGGAGAAATTCAGAACTTCAGGCTCCAGGCCAGACTCACTGAATCTGAGCCTGCTCTTCCACAGGACTCCCAGGGGATTCATGTGTATGCACGTCAAAGTTCAAGAAGCAATGCTTTATGGGCACCTGGGTGGCTCAGCGGTTGAGCATATGCCTTCAGCTCAGGGTGTGATCCAGGTCCTGGGATGAGTCCCGCATTAGGCTCCCTGTGAAGAGCCTGCTTCTCCCTCTGCCTGTGTCTCTACCTCTCTCTGTGTGTCTCTCATGAATAAATAAATAAAATCTTAAAAAAAAAAAAGCAGCAGCAGCAATGGTTTAGTCCATGCTCTTTGGTCTACAAAAGAAGGAACTGGGGCTTAGGGAGAGGAAGAAGATCAGCCCAGCTCATTCATGTGTGAAACAGTGAACATGGCTCAGAACCAGCCCAAGATTCCGGTCCAGCATCTTCCACACACCCTCTTGGCTGTCCACGCCTGCTTATATGTCTCTTTTTGCCTGCTGAGGGAGAAGCGCCCACCAAGAAGACAGGCCCCCCAGAGAGGGCATGAGGCCATCCCAGGTAGATAGGAAGGCAGCTGCTCACCCTGAGGACTTCCTCTAGGAAGGTGGGCATCAGCCAACTCGGCAGCCCCTCAGCTTCCTGGCACAAACCTCAGGCCCTGAGCTGGCCCCTGCCCGGTACCTGGCTATGTTGGCAGAGCGGACACAAGTAAGCCAGGACCCTCAGGACAACTGGGTCCTCGGTTGCGCCCAACAGACTCCACAACTCTGCCCAGCCTGTCTGTGCTATACATGCTGCTCTGTGTGCATCAAGGGTCAGACATAACTATGGCCTGGTGGCCGTTCTGGTGGCCTGGGCATGCAGAGAAAGGCACAGACAGAAGCCAGGTGCAGCATCTGGTGCCTCATCCTAATGCTCTGTGATAGGATCAGGAGCAGATCTCCTCCCTGGTGTCACTGGCTGTCTGGTGGGAGGATCGATGACGTGTGTAAGGGCTCCCCCTGCCCCATGAGACCCCTCAAGGTCTCTCGTGAGGCTGCAGAGGTGAGGGTCATTGCCAAGATGGTGCCCTGTGCAAACATAAAGGGTGCCACGGGGCTCTGACTGAGGCTCTGGGCTGTGTGGCACCTGGCTCTGTCCTTTGCACACCCTGCAGTGCCAAGCACACAGATGAGGCACAGCAAGTTCTCCAGAAGTAGAAGCTGAACTGAGTGGCCTTTCAGGGTCTCCTTGACAGTGAAGTCCAGCAGAGGCTGGCACATGAAAGCTGCTTGGGGAAGGGTGGCAGGGGCCAAGAAAGAAGGCAGGAGGAAGGAAAAGAAGTGCCCTGCTGCCCAGCGCCCCACTGCACCCCCTGACCTGGGTGCAGTATCCATGTGCTCCAATCAGGTGGCTGGTGGGGACATCAAAGTCTTGGCGGACACTAGAAAACACAGAAGAGGTGGTATTAGCATGCCTCTGCCTGACTCAGGCCTCCTGGGCAAACCTCACTGGGGGACCAGGGGCTCCCTCGGGTTCCAGGCTGAGGCCCAGAATTCTGGATCTGGGGGCAACTCAGGGCTCTGCAGCGCATGCTCACTCTGCTCTGGGCAATGGCCTCCATCTGGCTTCACCAGGGCCACCACCAACATGCAGAAGAGTGATGCAAGCGCATGACACAGCAGAGAGGCCCCTGAATTTGGGATCCAGCATCCCACATTCACACCCCAACTGCCACTTACCAGAGTGGGAACTGGGACAGCCCCTTCCATCTCCCGGCCTCAGTCTGTGAGCCCGCTCAGTGGGATTGATGGTCTCTAACACCTGCTAGAATCCTAATACAACAGCTGCCACCACCTGGGCGCGGGCCTCATACCAGGCCCTCTACACGCTTAATTCCCCAAATGCCAAGAGGAAACCAAAGCTCAGAGAAGTACTGACTTGCCCAGGGCACTGGGTGTGTGGGCTATGGAGCTGGTGGGGGACCCAGCAGCCAGCCTTAAGGCCTGTGCTCTCCCGACCCCAGGTCACCGCAATGGCTCTACCTTCAGAAGGGGGCCCCCCAAAAGACATGTGGCGAAAAGCCCCTTTGCCAAAACACATCCCTCACACCAGAAAAAAAAACGATTTCTTAGGGCAGTATGGAGCTGGGGACCAGGTGTCATTGTCGGCAGGGCTCTGTCATATATGAGGCCAGCACCAGGAGGCAGCCCCACCCCTCCACGAATCTCAAAGCTCTCCCACCATCTAGTAAGCCCAGGCCTAGGACACAATTGCTTTTACCTACCCCCACGTAAATCCTTCGGGAGACCAAGTGTTATTGTTGACCAGAACCGTGGACGGTTGGACAGGAAAGAGCCACCATCTATGGAACGTGCCTGGAGGATGCCAATTACAGCCCTGCCCCCAGCGAAGTAGGATCACTATATTTTATAGACATGGAGAGACTCAGAAGGGCATCACTGGAGGTGACGGGAGGCTGCCGCACAGTCCTGGGGCCCAGTCTGCCCCCTCCAGCCCCACCCCAAAGAGACCACAGACAGACAGCCCAGAGGAAAGGACTCAGCAATCACAGTGTTTTTTTTTCTCTTTTAGTGGAAGAGAAGAGAAGCCTGGTCTCAATTTTATGCTTTAAATCTAAGATCTGCCATAAGTCCACAAACCTAAAACACCCTGGTCCTGTATCCTTCCCAAACGAGTTTAGAAACTCAAGCTCCATGACCTTTGCTGGAGAAATGCTTTCTTGTGGTTTTTAATAACCGTGGCCAAATGGGGATGGTTTGCGGTCCACACGGCAAGATGGGCCGGGTTGGCACTGCAGGGGCCCGGCGGAGAAGTACAGAGGCCTGAGGGTCCTGGGAAGGGCCTGGGAGGCTCACCCATCAGAGAAGCCCAGCAGGCCGGGGGAAGGAGCCGGCTGGGGCGCCAAATGGCCAAAGGCAGCGCTCGACTGGCGCTCGTTCAGGCAGAAGAATTGATGGAAACGTTCTGCGCAGCATATATGGGCATCTTCTAAAGGGAAGAAAATAACCTCAAAGGAGCCCTGGGTGGACTGATAATCATCACTGGCTCCGAGCCAGCCCAAAGCTTTCAGAAGCGGTCCGATCTTCATCATCTCACAGCCTCGTGCTCACCCAGCGGGTTTGAGAGCCTGCGTCAGCTGAGAGCGAGAGACAGGCAGAAAGGACAATGGGAGGAAATGGTAATTGCATCCTTAGGTGCAAACACGATGGGAAATTCAGGAGTGAGCGCTGAGCTTGAAAGGGAGGAACGTCTGCATTTCACATTAGGGCACTCGCAAGACGCCAGGGAGCAGCTTACGGCTTAAGAGATTTACAACTTTGGCAAATCTAGATGCCCAGACCTCCCTCTAGGGGAATTCCCTGGAGAGCTGAGTGTGAGGAGTCCTTGAGCAAAGGAAAAACGGGCTCTGCTCTGCCCAGAGAGAGGGCAGTTCAAAGGGCAGGGCCGTCACCAAGCTGGTGTTCCAGCCCCAGCCAGCCATGTGGCAGCCAATCTCTCCTCTCCAGGCCTCAGTCTCCCCTCTTGTGACATGAGGCCTTTGCACAAGATGAGTGGTGTTGGGCACCTGGGTGGCTCAATGGTTGAGTATGTGCCTTTGGCTCACGGCAGCATCCGGGGTCCTGGGATCGAGTCCCACAGGCTCCCTGCTTATCCCTCTGCCTATGTCTTTGCCTCTTTTTCTGTCTCACATGAATAAATAAATAAAATCTTAAAAAAAAAAAAGATGAAAGGTGTTATGGGCTGAGCTGTGTCCCCCAAATTCCTATGTTGAAGCACCGACCCCAGTACCTCAGGATGTGGCTGTATTCAGAGACAGGGCCTTTAAAGGAGTGATTTAAGATCCCCGAGCCCATCAGGGTGGGCCGGAGTCCAATCTGCCTGGGTCCCTGCAAGAACAGGATACCAGGGATACGAGCTCACAGGAGAAAGACCATGTGAGGACACAGAAGCAGGCAGCCACCCCCCAGGCCCAGGAGAGAGGCTGCAGAGGAAACCAACCCTGCTGATGCCTCGATCTTGGACTGCCAGCCCCCAGAACTGTGAGTTTCTGTTGTTTCAGCCACTGAGGCTGTGGTGCTTTGTTATGGCAACCCTAGCAAATTAACACAAGCAGCCTCCGATGTCTGTTTAGACTTAGAGCTCTTTCTTCGAATGTCATCTCCTAGGCAGACACCAAACATATACGACATAAAGGCAGAGCTGCTCTGGCTGAGGGGTCCCTTCCTTCTCCCTCCTCCAACACCTGTAGCCTCTTGGGGGAACCCCCAGGTCTCCAAGGTCATGCAGCCTCCTGGGAGCAAGTGCTGAATCAGAGGAGGGGTTGCCTGGGCTCTGAGGTCCCCATACTTGCTGGGCTTCTGAGCCACAAGCTGTGATGAACCCTTCCCTGGGATCGATGCCATTCCATCCAATGAGCAGGCTCTGCCTTCCACAGTCCACTTGGGGGACCGGACAACGCTGGGCTCTAAAAAATTCTGCACAGCCCAGGGTCAGCTACCGGGCTAGGTGACAGGAGCCAGGAGGAGCCACAGCCTGAAGACACCAGTACTCCAAGGCTCTTGGCACTGGAGACCCCTCAGGGAGCAGGAGCTGACCTGGATTTTCATTCCAAGAAGCATAGGGTAGGAGGAGCCTGAATGGATCCACCCAGGGCAGGGACCCTTATGAGGAGGGGCTTAGCCCTGGCTGCCCTGCTACTAACCTCCTCAGCATCCTGAGAGAAAATGGCCAGAACCTGGACCCACGGTTGGAGTGACAGTTCGCCACAGAAGTATCCAGAGGAAGAGGAACAGAGAGCTCTGCCCAGGATGCCAGCAAGGGCTGCTTCTCCCAGCTGTGCCCCCAGCGAGAGCTCCCAGAGACTAGGCACTGTACCAAGACACAGAACAAAGAGGACACCGGGGCTGGCACAGCCCTCAGGGCTCAGCAGTTTGCAGATGGAAAGATGGGTGCCTCGTGAAGGAACACAAGCGGCCCAGGGCTAGTGACAGGTGCCAGCCCGGACTCGGCACCCGAAGCGGGGCTAGAGCTCCACGGACTCCCCCCAGTCACTCCTCCTCACACGTCTTAGAGGGGAAGCTTTCGAGCTGAGCCACTGAGCAGCTTACAGTGCTTGCACCTTAGAATCTGCAGAACCTATGAGCTCGCTTTCAAACACATCCTCTCCTAAAGCCCCGTGAGGCCCGAAGAGCAAGAACCACCTAGGGGGATAGTGAGGCCTGGTCAGGAGAAGGGACCTGTGGTCTTGTGATCACACAGCCAGCCAGCAGGCAGGACTGTGTCCCCACACAGAGTCCACTGTGGCCTGAACCATGTCGTGCTCAGCCTGCCTGGCCAACTCCAGGCAGCTCCGAGAGCCTCGAAGCCCTACTCCTGGTCCCACCCGCGCTGGCAGGGGCACGGCTTGTCCCTTCACACTAAAGCCTCCCCAACATACATCTGAACATGTGAATCTGGGCATCTTGTGCAGAAGTTTCTCGATAAGAAGGAAGTATATGTCTCCACGGCCCAGAGACACGGTTCCTGCCTACAGTTAAAGCCACTCACCTAAAATCAATGTCCGCGAGGTGGAGTCAGTGGCTAGCTCGGCCTCAGACTGGCCGTGTAACCTCAGGCAAGTCCCTGCCTCTCTCTCAGACTGTGTCTTCACTTATAAAAGCAGAGGACTGGAGTGAGGGGTCTCGGGGGACCTTCTGGGATGTGAACAAGTGTGCCTGGTTCGTGACTCTGATGTTAAAAATATCATGCCTAAAATAGGTGGTAATTAACCCAGGAGAATCCGGCCAGCCACCTCCCTTCCACCTGACCCCAGAGCACCCTGCTCTGGCTGGTCCTCCCTACCGCCTCCTCCCCTGAGAATCCTATTGATTTGTGAGGACAAACCAATAGTGAGAAGGGCAGCTTGGAACAACTACGAGAACCTGGGCTCCGAAGTCAGGGGGCCCTGGATTTGAATCCAGCCACTGCCACTTACCAGCTGTCCCCCTTCTGAGCCTGCCTCCCCCTGCAGTAGGGGTGGGATGATGCCTCCCTTTACTATAGACTGCTGTGAGAGTGAGGTGAATTATATAAAGCATCTGGCATTTGGTAAATGTCACTTCCTTTTTCCTACGATAACAACAATAACAACAACTAAAAACACAATGACTGAGAGGTCACGATTCCCGCAACCTCAAACTACTCGTGTGGCAGCCAAGAACCCAGAATAAATGGAGCTCTACAAGCAGTTGAAAGTAACTATGAATATCTAAAAAGGATTTGGGTAGAGCGGATATTGACTGTTTTTCCCAGGAAGGCCTGCAGGGAGTGGACGATGAGTCAGGACACCTGGGTGGCAGGCCCCCACTGCCACCTGCACTTTGGGACCTTCTGCAAACAAACTGCTTTCCATCTCTGGGCCTTTGGTGGGTCACTCCCTGG